CGCATAAAATATACAGTTCCTCAGGTAGACAAAGGAACATCCTTTCCCTGCTATTATGTAAAAATGTGTAAAACAGATGTCACATGCATATTCACCTGTTCTACACATTTTTACATAATAGCAGTGAAGGGATGTTCTACCACAGCAATTGTTGAGGGTAGAATGAGGAATTGTATATTTTGTCCTCTTTCTTTGTCCGTCATGTTCATAGTGTTACTTCCTGCATGCATGTATATCGTCGAGTGCAATCTAAGAGATTTCTAATTGTAGTCAACATGGGCAGTTGAGTACGTTGACACGCATGATCAGTCGGCGTTCGTCGTGTTCTCGTCCACTCAATCTAAAAGTCCCTATTGACGCGGTGTTTACCACCCCCCCCCCCCCCCCACCTGCGCACGCGCATGATAGCAATTATGTTCATTCTTTATGGGATGTCGTCTGCTTGGGCAGGATTGGTTCATAATGTGACGTCATTAAAACATCGTTATTTTTCTGGCGAATCTCCCGTATACGATAATATCGCAGATGAATGTTTTATTTGTATTTTTACAAATTAGCCAATATGTAGTTGACCTAAAACTCGTACGATGGCCATCTTTTAGCTTACCAGTTTCTAGTGATACGTAATAACGTGGTGCATTTTTTTTTTCTTTGAACGAGCACCTCAGGGATAGGTTTAGGTATAGCAATGGGTCCAGAATTGAAGTTTGGAATTCGTAAAGTATTAAATACTGATGAGGAGCAATTTTCGCAGGAGCATATGGCGTACAAGCGATATATAGATGCAATCAGAATATTACGAACAATTTCATTGGGCCAAGATTATCATTCTACATCGATCTTCCTCATCTCCTGTTCGTACAATAAAACAAATAAACAAACAATTCATCGATCAATCAATCAACAAACAAAATGTGTATAATGTATGACGATGTATTACAATACAATAACAAAAAGTTGAGTATTTACACGAGGAGAAAACATATACATAACTCATACTCATTTCCGTTTAATGTTACCTTATCCTTTATTGTCTGATATATATTTCATGAAATAAATCCTCCTTGCACCACTTTGGTAGCAGGATCATAATACATTTATAATAATATTAAAGGTATCTAAATCAAGTTAAAAAAAACGCAACCTTTTTGTTCACCAAATTAAATTGTTTTGTAACAAATACATACACGACAGACATAAACTACTGTCTATTCTAGATCCGCGTACATTGGTTTTAGGAGAACAGTGTTCACCCAGTACATACACCATTTTCAATTAAAACAATCAATACAATAAAATAAAAAATTAAACATTATAACACATTACATTCTTTACATCATCTTGGTTTCTTCTTCTTTCTCTATTTCAGCTATTCAAACACGGAGATATAGCGCAGAACTCAAATTTTCTGGAATTTATGGAACATACAATTCATACATGCCATCAAAATAATTAATTCCCAAATAGTCTTTCCTAAAAATGATCTTGTCTTCCCTCCAAAGCTTGCAAACACATCCTTAAAAATGTGATTCTAACCCGCCCCCCCCCCCAAAAAAAAACAAACAAACAAACAAACAAGACCACAAATAGAATACAGAATGGTAATAAACATAAATGCGTAAAGTTGTTTGTACAACCTTTGTAGAATATTGCATAGAACGTTTCCTACTCGGCTACACCAATAAGAAATTTGACAGCGGGCACGGAAGAATTATCATATTTGCATCCAACATTTCTTTTTTTCTAGCGCATTATAACAAAAATAATCAACAACACATACTGCAAATTGGATTGACGTTATCATTTCCGTTCTTATATCGATTGATTATTAAACCTTAAAGTATATTTAGAACGTGAAATGAAGCTTAATTATATAAGTTAAGGCGTATTATTAGACATGAGTTTACATAGAAAATGCCACGGTCATGTGAAGCGCTTAATCTACAAGTCCAGTAACCTAGATAGAGAGATCGATAGCCTGTGTACGTACGTACGTAGGGTCGCAATTTATGACATTTCGTTTGCCAGCCTTAACCTTCACAGTGATTCAATTACATTGCTGGCATTTCGTGTGTAAAAATTGTAAGACACTGATTGTGGTTGACATGACACATCTCCCTCTTCAGTGGTGTAGATATTTGGGTGAGCACTTGCCCCCCCCCCCCTCCTCCCTCAAAAAAAGGGAGGGGGATGATAAAAACGGGAAAGAAAGGAATAATGAGAGAAAGAGAGAGCAAATAGGTGGGGGGGGGGGGGTGAACGTAGATTTCTTTCCGCAAATGCAAGGGAATTAACCATGTAAACAGAATAACTCTGAAGTGTAAACAATCTGTGTTTTTTTCTATCCAAGTCATTAAACAGACCCCCCCCCCCCGCACCAATACAGCTCTGTCCGTTTTACAGGCCAAAAAAATGAAAAGGTTACTTTCCAACGGCACTTGAAAGACAATACTAACTCAGAACTTTCCTGCCAAGGAAAGGGCTTGAAAATGGCCTTTAGTGGGAATAATAAAGACAATTATAGTTCAATCGACACAGAAAATCAGACTATTACTTGTAGACCCTTTTACCGAATGGTCGTACGTTCTGTGCTGCACAAAGATTAATTCAGTTTACTTTTGGCCATTACAAAGAAGTGGGTTATTGATGTAGACAAACATACATGAAGTGAGCTGTAGCTCATTTCATGTATGTTATTACCAAAGAAAAAAAGATGTCAGTCAGTCAGTCACTGAATAGCGTTCGACAGTGAAGTTTAGATGGTAAACGGGTTTCCTTGAATAATACTAGGACACTACTAATGTGCAACTTCCACAGATACATATTAATAATTTCTGCAAAGTTCTACAGAATTTGATGTTGGCTGCAAAAGGGACATAGTATCTTTAGAAGAAAGGAAAAAAAAAATGTGCCTTCAACTGCCAAAGGCACAGTTTTTTTTAAATTAATTTTATTACGTTTATCGAAAAATGAAGCCTACACTGTGCTCGGTTAGTAGGCAAAAAGAATTTGGTGACTATTCATGTGTCCCACTTTGGTGTGGCACTTTTAAATTTTTATATGGCCTCATATATGGCCTCAAATTTTAATTGATATTTTTCCTTTCTAACGATTGTACCCCACTTTACGATTTAACACACAATAACACATATAAAATGATCGCCTAAAATTCATGCACTTTGATGCAAATTGTTGATAATATTCTACACGCACGGTTGGTTGAATTCATTTAATCTCCAAATCTTCACTTTTCTAATACTTGTATAAGAATTGTATTTTTGATAACAATCAGTCTTGCAAAAACATTGGTACACTGTTAGTATATAAATGGGGCTTTGAAAAGCTACAAAAGGCAATTATTTCTTTAAATAAATTATTTTTCTCCCCCAAACTTTCAAATTCTAGAAAAAAAAAGGCAACCAATATTTTATCTTTGTCTTTGAATGAATAATCCTTAAGCTGGCGTGATTATATCTAGTGGAGCATGGGCATAAAGAGGATTACATTTTTGATTGTTCGGCTGATAAAAGAAAATAAAAGAAATTCTGAAACTTTGATCAGCATTGTAAATCCTATTTAACCCTTCCTGTACTGGGCTATTTTGAGCACCTCGTGACTGGGGGGGGGGGGGGGGGGGGGGGCTGGGAGGCCCCCCCCCCTATGATCTCGGCCGTCGAAAGTTTGATGAATGCGAAAATTTGCATGTTTGTAGATATTTACGTAACGAACAAGATGGTATAATTCGTTTTTTCCTAATATGCAAATTTTTGTCGTTATAGCCTAATTAATTATGCAAAATGCTCATTTTATGCATTTTACAGAAAACTCTTCATATTTGTCTGTAGACTTGTGAAGAATGTTGAAAATGTATTGAATAAATGTTTCCTTCATCTCAAATTCATGAGGTTACATTATTTTTATGATATTTGAAAATGCATAGGTTAATTTGCATAAATTATTAATACGCATTCATGAATATCAAATCTAGAAAATATACAGGGAACTAGAATCATTACAAAAATTGTCAGACTCCACTTTTTGAATGTTAATTGAAACCTATTATTTATATGAAACTTCTTTTCTTACACAAAAAAAGTTATTTTGATGTAATTAATAATGATAATTTATGCAAATTTAATACGATTTTCAAATTTTCTTTTCTTTTGTATTTTATTGTTTTTTATTTCATATTATATCTATTGTTTTATTTCTTATGTATTTTTTTTGTTCTGGAATACATCAAGTTACTTTGAGAAACATATAAAAGCAATTAGATATCAATTCATAGTATTCACATTTCTGCTTGTACATGAATATATGCAATTATAGCATATTTTTGATGACATGCGCATACTAATTGTTATGTAACACCTTACAGGTATATCCGATTTCAACGAAAATGGTATCAAAATGTGCGTAAGACTTAAGGGAAAAAAGTCATGAAACGACAATTCAAAATTCCAAGCGGTTGCGGCGCGAAAATGTCGAGGGGGGCCTCCCAGGCCTCCCCCCCCCCCAGTACAGTAAGGGTTAAGTCAAAAGAAATAAAGGGGGGTCACTTTGAGCCCTAGCTGAAGGCTTACAAAAGCAAACGTAGCCTCCTTGTTACTGTACTTCAAGACAAAATATGTCATTTTTTTCTTCCTTTCCTTCTCTGACTTCTCTTCTTATGGGACACAAAGTGAACCACCTATACCATTACATCTTTTTGTTAGTTAGTCTTTAAGTTGCTCATCACATCTTGAAATCGATCAATGTCACCATCTGAAATGTAACTAACTATGAAAACATATTATACAAATCAGTATAAAAACTGGTGGTACTACAGTATAAGGAAAGATTTGGAATTGATGGCTCTTAAAGGGATCAAATTCAGAGACAGAAGGGCTTTAACTCACCCACTGTAATACACAGTCAGTGCCATTCTAGCTGGGAACACACAAACTTATTCATTGAAAGATGGGATTAATATGTAATAAATAGACACAGGGAAACTTGAATTTAATATTTTTTCATTCTTCATGTTCTAACCTTTTAAGTATATTGACAGATAACATTAGGAAAAAAGAAATATTGTAATTATAGAGAGAACATACTAATCCATAGGATTTCTAACTATCAATGTGATTTAATCTCAAGCTGGTTCTCATGACCAGAGCACGGTATGTCCAGCTCCTACAATAGTATACAAATATTGACTGCTTTGAGGGGCACGATTAAAACTATAGCCCAAGTTAATCTCAACACTGTACTGTGCCACGAGATGAAGTTGAGACGCGTAGTATAATCTATAGCTTTTATACTCTATTAGTTTATTACCTCTATAGTTTTAACCATGACCTAACAAATTCAGCAGTCAATATTTGTTTTATATACCGCATGCAACTCGTGGATTCTCAAAACGGGACATTCTAACAAAATATCCTGTTCAGAATGTATTTGTAAATGTGGCAAAATTTACCAATCTAAAAGAAATGTGTGTATCCTATCCACTGCGTGCATCGATTGTTAATTTCATGAGCATCTATCACTTCCTTGCATTGTGTGTGCAAGTAGAGCCGAGCCTGGTCAATATTTTGTATTCATAAAATAGCTCTAGTATTTTAAGCATTGTGATTGGTCAAAACGCGTCACATAATAAGCAACTTTTTTGTGCAGTCTGAACGAAGTGCGAAAAAAGCGCAGCGAAAAGTATCAGCGTACGTACGCGTAGAGCAAGTAGCAAGGCCTTATCTTTTCAGTTTCTAGAACCAAATATATCTAAGTCTAACTCTCGTAGACTCTAACCTTAGATCTAGACTTTTGTTTGTTTTGATTTTCATGTGTCGCTATCTTATTAACAAAATAACGCACACTAGACCCTGTTGTGCATAATGTAAATGCAGTGCACGCTCGGTATCTTCAGATGGTGTGCACTAGTGAACTCACCGCAAGCGGCTCGTGCACAGAAGAGTTCAAGCCAGTTGGAATAATAGAAAAATGATAATGCACATTTCATAAACCAATATCACCACATAATGTAACTGTGTAATCGGTTATCAAAAAACTTTCATAAAACCAAATTCACAAACAATTATTACAATGGCTCTGGTATGGCTCTACCCAGTCTACCCATTACAGTAAACTGTACATAATTCTATTGTTAGTTGTCACAACACATGTGTAAATAAAAAAACATTACAAACCTTCAGAAAAATTGCTTGAATATGCTGCCAATAGTTTGCACACAAAAATTATAATGTACACTATAGTTTACCAACCTAATGCTTTGTAAATGAGTGTTATAAATATATGGTTTCATTACATATCTGTATATTGTTAAATGAACTCAATGGCTCAGAAATAAAATTGTAAGAGTTTTTCCTGACATTGCAACAATTTATCAAGACAGAAACAGAAAATTCTTTACAAGATAAAGAAAAGTTAAATTAAAAAAAGTAGAGCCTGTATGGTATAAACATAGCCTTTAATTAATACATTTCAAATCAGGTCTGCTTGACGCCGTCAAGTGAAATACAAATATCAACTTCGGTCAATTCCATAAGTGTGGCTAATCATTCGTTATTGAAGAAGAAAAAAAATTGCATCAAAACTATATCTACCTGTTTCTTTTTAATGCTGAAAAAAATATTGCTGAACAAAGTGCTTGAATTATAGACACTCATACAACTAAAAAAAATGCATAACAAAAGTAGAAAACTATTGACTATTTCTCAATGTTGTAGTAATAATATATAATATGACATTACCACCCTGTTCATATTGTTTCCATAAATAAATAGATGGAATTGAGAGCACACTAACAGTTGGAAAAACCCATCTACATAAGGTCAAGGTTCAAAGGAATTATTAGCCAAAACATATTCTGATGAACATTTGAGCGAGCACATAGAGCACATACAGCACATCACATAAGAGACTTTTCCAACCCTGTAAAATATATATATTCCAGTTCTCTCTATAGTGATAATACTAGAACATTCTAGCATAAAAATGTATGATAAAGTAGAACTATATCAACTTTAAATCTCTATAAATCTAGCACTCGATCATGCTAGTGTGAAATCAAGAAGTGTTACCGTATATATATATATATCAATGGATAGAATTATAATATTATCACAATTAAATTTAACACAAACAAAAGTCAGAATACATATATATAATCATGTTATAAATCAACTTTAAAAAAAATGCATAGTTGACTAATTATTTCAAAATTGAAAAATGCAGGGCACCCGCCATCTTCAGCCAGAGCTTGAATGTGATGACACCCTCAAAGAAGCAACCGATTTAGGCGACCAAACTACAATATATATATATATATATAACAGCCACATGATAAAGGAATTTTTTTTTTTAAAGGCATAACATGAAATGCATTTAGTTTGAATATTATGTAAATGAATGTCTTTTGTGAAAACTTGTTATTTATGTTCTTGTTTATGTATGTGCACGTGCAAGTTCATGTGTTAGTGCTTACGTGTGCCTGAATATATGTAAATGTCAAAGTTTTGTGAAATGTAGAATTGGAGCGCTTATTAAATTATAACTAGTATGCTGCTGATAAGCTACACATATGAAGAAATACATGATTTAGAATCTACAAAACTAAATAAGCTTATCTACCTCTTTCTATAAAAATATATGATTTTCTTAAGTAAATTATTCATACCCTTACTAAATATTGTAAGTTTTGTAACGTGAAAAGTTAATTTTTTCCGGATCTAACTTTCTTGAGAATGTGACATATTAAAGCTTACATCTAAATGTATTCAACCAAAGCCCTAATTCAACCAGTCCACCTTTTATTCTTGAGTTACAAAAAAATTATTTAAAAAATTAAATTTTTACAATGGGTATGAATAATTGAGTTGTTAACTGCATGGTTCATGTATACATGTATGTTATGTGTGCCAAAAAATTAATTGTGGCATTCCACTATTTGTCCCACTAGTTGACCATACTACTACAAAGAGTTCAAATGTACTAGCTATATATAACGCAATTATTATTATGCCAGTTTAGTTCAAAAACAAAGAAAACATTGTTTTTGCAGCATTGATAAAGGCATAAAGGCATACAGTAAATATGTTTACCTATGGAAGTAAGACTTGTATAGAAAGGTATAATGGGGGTTCGTATATCCAATCAAGAAGGTGGCCATCTTTACTACGCCTTCTTGACTTTCTCAAGGCACGATGCTACTACAGCTGTCCAGCCGGTTTGATGGCTGTAAAGAGAATGCACAGAATATGTAAAGATGAATATTATGATCACTGAAAGAAATAATCACACAGAAATAGCAGCGGTATAAGAAATAATAATAGACATGATAGAAGTGGTATTTTATTAGTAATGGTGGTTATAATGGTGATAGTAGTGTAACGATCCGCTTCGCGGTCGTGACGTCACAAAGAGGCCTAACTTAAATGAGTCACCAACGCACAATGTCGTACATAACTAATTCGCATACGAGCGCTTGACATTTGGATCCATTATTAAGATGATTTAAGATGTTAAAACTGTAATTGTTTATCAATATATCACATGAATTTGGATGGAAAGTTGTTTAGGCAATGTAACTTGTTAATATTTACTGCAACTGATATGTCATTCAGAGTGTTGTATTTAATTAATGGTAAAATAAGAGATTTACTTAGATATTTTGCTCTGAACTAGCACAGTCTTCATGTTAAGTCCATTTTCGCTGCGCGTGTGCTTTCCAAGATCGCTTAGCGTATCGATTTCCCCCACGTCCGCATTATGCCTTTATAACCCGTAACATTTCTAGAACGCGAGGACTTGGAATTGGGCACTCGTCGGAACCACACATAAGCTCTCTCTCCCTCCCTGGAAATCCTCCCATAGCCACTTAAGGAACTACACGTTATTTACAACTGGAATATGAAGGTACAGAACGAAGTCGACGCTGGAATTAAGATGGACCAATATTAAGATGCTGGAATTAACATACCACTATTAAGATGATGGAATTAAGATGCTGGAATTAATGAACCACTATTATTAAGATGCAGGAATATCCTAAGTCCACCTCTCCCCATATGATGCTATGGAATTAAACTAAGACGGAAAACTTCCAAGTCCCATAAATTCCAATGAATCATTGCCCTTCACTTTATTACATGTATTCGAATATAAGAACGACAATCGTATAAATTCATTAAATATAACTATGAGCACAAGGTATTTGTGACAGTGGTGATATGAGATGTAAATATTTGAAGTACATGCATTAATAAAAGTTGACCATTTTCTTTTGTCTTGAAACTGAAATTATGAGTCTATAAACACTTTGTCTTTCTTCGTAACTGGTACTCCGTCATAGTCGTTTATTTCGACAAAACGAACGTAAATAAGTATTGTAGCTTCCCCCGTCTTTTCTTCAAATAAAAGATAAGATCTAATTACTTTACTCGCTCGGACATTATAAATAAGATGTCGGCTGACGAATATCCCGACAGATATAAAGAATCAGATTCCCCAGCTGGGAATGAGAATAATCCCGACGTAGAGGTCGAGGTTGAAGACGGAGGCGGGGGCGGCCGCCACAAATTTGGTGTCAGAAGTGGGATTATTAATATGGCGGAGGTACCAGAGTCTAAGAAAGAAATAGATGAGCTAAGTTGCTCCTCAGATGAAATAATGTCTAGTACAAAAAGTTCAAAGAAAAAGAAGAGTAGGACAGAGAAATTACAAAGTCGGATATTAAGTCAACTATTAAAGTTAATGGGGCAAATGATGAAGTTGAATTCAACTTCAAACCAAATAGACGACCAGAAGGAATGGAAGTCCAAAATGGAGACGAGGAAGGCATATCTCATGTCGATAAATCAAAGACGAGGAAACTTAAGGAAGAAACTAACCAGATGGAAACACAAAAGAAGAATGATGATATTCGCTTTGCCAAAGAAGATAGAATTCAGGAAACTACTCATCGACCACTGATCATGCCGGACCAGTATGATGAAAGTACCGACTGGAAAGACTACGCCTCGCACTTTGAATCTTGTTGCGAAATCAACAACTTGAAAGATGAGGAATCTGCAAAGTATCTAGCTGCTAGCTTGAGAGGTCAAGCTCTGAGATTACTAGAAGAACAAAGAGGCACCAAGTGGAACTTTGAAGAAATAAAGAGTAAACTGTCATTTAGGTTCTCTTCTGCCAAACAGGCAGAAAGCTATCTGTTGGAACTGAGGAATCGTAAGCGACGACAAAGAGAATTACTCCAGGAACTAGGACGTCATATTAGGGAACTAACTGATAAGGCATATCCAAACTTTGAAAGTCAAGGGGTCGATAGACTAGCTAGGATTCATTTTACTGATGCTATTCGTAGTAGTGAGATTCGTATGGGAATATTTCATGCTAAGGCAACAAGCTTAGATGAGGTAATTCAAGCAGCAATAACCACTGAGACATTTCTAAAGACGGAACCTGAGAGAAATGGATGGAAGGTTAAGCCTACTTACAATAGAGGAATCGGTTCTGAAGTGGATCTAGAGAAGATGATCAAAGATGAAGTCAACAAAGTCCTATGCCAAGCTATGGAAAGTCAACCTAACAAAGGAAAGATGTCAGGGATATGTGAAGAAACCAGGAACTAATCAAAGGCCAAGCCAAACAGCGCAAGGAAGATTTGATGTGAAAACCCAAACATGTTTCTATTGTGAAAAACCTGGCCATTTTGCAAGGGAATGCCGTGAGAAACAAATGGATCGAAGAGGAAGAAACTATCCAAGTGGTGAATCTAACTGGTCAAGACAAAGATATCAGTGTCAGTCAAACGACAAGTGGTCGCCCAAAAGGGTCGTGGCGCGGCCAATCGTCCAAAATTAATTGAGACCCAACCTAGCAAAACAAAGACAAGTTTCATACCCAGTATAAATCAAAATGTTGATGGTCTTTATGTTCCAGTGCATATTCAGGACAAGGAATACAAATTTCTAGTTGATACTGGTGCTTCAGATTCTTACATTTCTAGACGATCATATGAACAATTAGATGAAAAAGATAGACCCCCTCTGCAACATCGTAGCATAAGTGCACAATTAGCAGATGGTTCACCATTAGCCATTTATGGAGCAATAACTCATGAGATGAAGATAGGACTAAATAAAGGAGTAATTACAGTGTTGGTAGCAGATGTGAGTAGTGATGGAATCCTCGGTTTGGACAATCTGACAAGAATGGGGCTAGCATTGATCTGACTAATTTTCAACTCACCACAAAATGGGGCAAAGTAGAGTGCAAGAATGAAAGTGGAGAAAGACTATCCTGCCGCATAACTGCATCAGAAACTACTACAATCCCCGCAGGACATGAAGCTGTAATACTTGGATCAATGAAGGAAGGAGATCGAATAAATGTTCAACAACAATTAGTGAAGAAAGGACTCATTACAGCTAGAACTCTAATCAAGACAGGTGAGGAGTTATTGCCTGTTACGGTATTCAACCCATCTACTTCCAACAAAGTAATAAAGAAGAACACACCAATCGCTATGATGACCGTAATAGATACAAGTGAAGTACAGGAAGTCCCTAAGTACACCACTGTTGGTGATGGAAAAGTTCCGGAACATTTGAGGGATTTGCTAAAGAGAAGTACAGAAGGAATACCAGATCAGTATCACCAAGATGTTGGAAAGTTATTGACTGAATTTCAGGATGTATTCTCAAGAGGAGGTGATGATATTGGAAGGACCAATTTGGTACAACATAATATAAATACTGGAACTCAGCAACCAATTAGACAACGACAACGCAAGCACCCTTTTGGGCAGAGAGAGACGAAATCAAGGAGCAAGTGGAAGGGCTACTACAGAAAGGTCTTATTGAACCAACTGATAGTCCATGGGCTTCAAACATTGTACTCGTAAAGAAAAAGGATGGAACTCAGAGATTTTGCGTGGATTATCGGCAACTGAATGCTGCCACGATCAAGGACGCCTACCCCCTACCTCGTATAGATGAAACATTGGATGCTTTGTCAGGAGCGCAGTGGTTTTCAACCCTGGACTTGGCAAGTGGATACTGGCAAGTAGGCTTAAGCAAAGATGCTAAGGAAAAATCAGCTTTCGTAGCTGATGGTGGACTCTACTCATGGAACGTGATGCCTTTTGGACTTTGTAACGCCCCAGCCACTTTTGAGAGATTAATGGATAAAGTACTAACCGGATTGCATTGGGAGGCATTACTTGTCTACTTAGATGATTTGATTATCTTTGGTATTCTATTGACTACGACAAGCCAACTTGAAGTTAAAACCAAAGAAATGCTTTCTGTTCAGGAAGAAAGTGTCCTATCTCGGACATGAAGTATCAAGCAAGGGAGTCTCAACACAGCCAGAGAAGGTTGAGTCTGTAAAAACATGGCCGACGCCGAAGAATGTGACGGAAGTTAGAAGTTTTCTTGGTCTTGCATCCTACTACAGACGTTTTGTTCAAGGTTTTGCTAGTATAGCCAAACCTCTTCATCAACTCACGGAAAAGTGCCGTGCCGGACAGTTCGAATGGAGCTCTGTCTGTCAGGATGCGTTTGAAGAGTTGAAAAGAAGATTGATTACTGCACCTATTCTGGGATACCCGAATACGGAAGGTGCATTCATTCTTGACACAGACGCCAGTAAGGATGGAATTGGAGGAGTGTTGTCACAAGTACAAGATGGAAAGGAAAGAGTAATTGTTTACGGAAGTAAAATGCTAAGTAAGGCTTGAAGCATTTCAGACAATATCTCTACGGTCGACATGTAACGGTGAGAACAGATCACGGAGCTTTAAGGTGGCTAACAAATTTCAAAAACCCTGAAGGACAGCTGGCAAGATGGCTTGAGGTCATCGCAGCTTATGATATAGAGATCATTCACAGGGCTGGTAGAAGTCATGGAAATGCAGATGCATTGTCGAGAAGACCTTGTGGCCAGTGTGGAAGAGGAATGGAGTGCGAGTTCAAGGTCAAGGGGGAAGAAACAGTCAAAGCCCGTGTAATAATGATGACAATTGAGAAGAGACTGTCTGAGATGAGGAAAGATCAACTAGACAACCCAAATATAAAGCCTGTGCTAGAGGCTATGGAAAGGAAGACCAGACCACCAAAGGAAGAAGTTTCCGCCATGTCTAAGAAAGTTAAAGTCTTGTTAGAGCATTGGGAACAACTTGAAATCAGAGATGGAATACTCTGCCGTAGATGGGAATCAATAGATGGCAAAGAAGTGAAGTGGCGACTAGTATTACCTGGAAGGAAAATGAATGAAGTATTGAAAGAACTTCATGGTAGCGCTTTAGCTGGTCATTTGGGAGCAACCAAGACACTGAAGAGTGGTCAGATGAGATACAACTGGGTCGGAATGAAGGCAGATGTGAGGTCTTTCTTCCGTAAATGTGAATCTTGTGCTCGACGGAAGTCAGCTGGTAAGAAGAGACGAGCACCTCTACAGCAGAGAAAAAGTGGAAGTCCGATGGAACAGATCGCTCTGGATATTCTAGGACCTTTGCCAGAGACGAATGACGGAAACAAGTACATAATGGAAGTAGCCGATTACTACACAAAGTTCGTAGAAGCTTATCCCATACCTAATGAGAAAGCAAGTACTGTGGCACCCAAACTAGTTAAAGAGTTTATGTGTAGATATGGGGTTCCAACTGAGATTCACACAGACCAAGGAAGGAACTTTGAGTCACAGTTGTTCAAAGAAGTTTGCCAGATCTTGGGAATAAAGAAGACAAGAACGACGGCATATAACCCTAAATCAGACGGAATGATTGAACGCTTCAACAGAACATTGCTCGATATGCTTGTCACGCTAATAGAGCCTGGAAAGAATCAGCGAGATTGGGACAAGTATGTACATATACATGTAGCTACAACGGCATACAGAAGTTCAGTTCATGAGACAATAGGAGAAATGCCAAACATGATGATGTTCAAAAGAGAACTGAAAATGCTTTCAGATCAGTACGTGATCCAACCAAATATGGAAGTTGGAACACACTACGTCGAGGAACTACGAGACAGGATGGATAAAGTCTATACAAGGATTACTGAGCACAGTCAGAAGAATCTCCGAAGACAGAAGAGAAACTACGACAAGAAGATTGCGGGAAGTATTTACGAAGAAGGAAATTTTGTTTGGTTACGAAATAATCAGAGACACAAAGGCATCAGTCCCAAACTAAGTTACAGATGGAATGGCCCATTCAAGATTAAGACGAAGTTGTCTGATGTGATATACAGAATCAAAAAGAGTCCTGGAACCAAGGTGAAGGTTGTACACTTTGACCGTTTGAAGCCATGTGAAGGAGACGAGCCTAAGGAATGGAAGACAGCTCATACTAGACGGAAAGATGATGTAAATGATGCCAGAGAGATGGAGTCCAACTCTGAAGAGGTTGATCATGATTCAACGCAAGACGTGACTGTAAATAGAAGACAAGAAGATACTCGACGCTATCCACTGAGGAATAGAAGACCCGCACATTTCTTTTATTAGAAATGGTTTTGTGGAAATAAACTTTAGAATAGACATATTTTGTTATACTTTGGATCTGTTTCCTTCTCCTCTTTCCTTCTCTATAACTTTCTTTCTCACTTCTTTCTTTCTTCTATTCATCTCTTTTTTTTCATCTATATCTCTATTTCTTTCTTATACAGATTCCATTGCTTATATTGTATATACATGTACATTATTGACATTGTAACTGGTACTCCGTCATAGTCGTATATTTCGACGAAACGAACGTAAATAAGTATTGTAGCTTCCCCCGTCTTTTCTTCAAATAAAAGATAAGATCTAATTACTTTACTCGCTCGGACATTATAAATAAGATGTCGGCTGACGAATATCCTGACAGATATAAAGAATCAGTTTCCCCAGCTGGGAATGAGAATAATCCGGACGTAGAGGTCGAGGTTGAAGACGGAGGCGGGGACGGCCACCACAGTAGCAATAGTGGTGGTGGAGGTAATACAGCAGTGACAGTACAATAGATATTTTTCAAAACGATACTTATTTCTCATCACTCTCAGTCTCATCATCACCAAATAAAAACTATTAATAATGCTAGCTTTAACCTACAAACTTCATTAGAATTAGAATTATTCCAGGTGTTTGTAAATAGTTCTTTCTTCCTATAAAACTGAAAGGCAATTGTGCATCATTTCATTTTAAAAGTCATATAGTATCTTACTGAAATTTAAACGATGAGCAGAATAATTAAAGGTAATACAAAGTTTTGGTATGGGGTCATGAATTTGGTTCAGATAAACATATTGGAAGCATAAGCGATTTTACAATATTTCAATGATCGTTGTCGCGGTTAAAATCGAGTCTTAAGTGATAAAATTGTAGCTAATAATCTTTTTATGTTGTATAGCGCCCTTTCTAGACTGATGTTACTTTAGCTCTAAAACAATGTTTCTTGACTACATTCGACTGATGCGCTATTCTCGTTTGGAAATTATATATCAACTCTGCATATTCTGAGATTTTCAGGGTCGCAGCTACTATGGAATGGCCTTAGGCGCTATTTAAAATATTTGAAATTTACCGGGAACACCGGTAAATTTTTGATTATTCAATTTCTCGAAAGCAGAAGTGTTTAAGGGGCTAGTTTTCTAGTACTTTTCTAGTACCATCCATTTTTCAAAATTTCCCAAAACTTTGCATTACCTTTAAGATATTTCAAGCCGGATCAATCTGAGCCCTACCTTGCACCAACACCACATCCCGTATCGCCATGGAAATACTCATAGAACAGAACCAGATCCTTCCAGTTCGGATCATCCTTATAGAGATCGCTACTCCCATGGCACGGCCTCTTCCCACTCTCATCCGGTAAGAAAAGGTTGACAATGCGCGATGATATCTCCTTAGCAACATCCTTGAGACGCATCATGTTTCCTGATCCTGTGGGACACTCCACCTTGAAGGTCTCTCCGTAGAAGAAGTCATAGCGCTCCAAGGATTCAATGATCAGGTAGTTCACTGAGAACATTAAGTGACAGATATGGAAACATGATTGATTCATCAACCATATCAGTTTTATCAAAGATTTCAATGATTTTAATATACAGACAGATGATTGTAATTGTCAAAATGCCTCCCAGTAGATGTCATAGCATTTCAGGGCCTTAGTAATTTGTTGATTTACAAGAAGCAAAACAGTCAAGAAAGATTTTTCAATCAGCCAAACAATGTTTACAATAATTTGATATGATTGTAACAAGAAATGAATCTGATTTGAATAGGGTAATGAAGCCTCTCTGTAGGAAAGGCCATTGAGTTCCAAGGCCTCAATCATTAGGTAATGATTTTACTAAGAATAACATGAAGAGAGATTTCTTTGAAATCATTGATATTCCTCTACAATGAAAAGATCATTAAAATAAAGAAATGATTACAATTATATACCTCACTTAAGAAATCCAGCCATCTGATTGGTCGAAATTACATTCATAAACTTTAACTATTTCTGTAAAATTCCCAGTAACCATGGTTAAAACAGTTCTAAAATCCCAGTAACCATGGTTACTGGGAAAATAGTTCAGTCTCCATGGTTACCCCATAGGTTTACATGTTAAAAAATGGTTTGAGCGATCGAGGATACCGTACATGTGCGAAGAATTGGTCGGTATTTTCATACAAGACAAGACAATTCCAAACAAGACAAAAATGGCTAAAGAAACTGTCCCAAGATTTCAACTTATCAAATGCAAGACTCGCTGACAGCAAGAACAACAAAAAGGGTACGTGAAATTATCCATAAACATGTTTATGATTCAAAGCAACCAAAAATAATCTATATAACCAACTATCACTTTGAGAAGGTAAAACAAAAACTTTTCCAGAATATATGATATCATTACCACAAAGCCAGATGGGTCCCCTCCAGTTGCTATTCCCACCAAATAGATAAGTATTAGACTCTCCTGGAACATAGTCTACTCGATACTCTTCCCCTTCAACATGGAACTGGAATGGTTGACTAGCATGGATCTTGGACAATGATCGGATCCCATATGGTGATAGGAACTCCTCCTCATCCAGCATGTATTTGAGTACTTTCTTCAGGTTCTTGCGTGAGGGGATGCCTAGGAGGTGACGCCCCTTGCCAGTGTCTTCCCGCGTCATGTAGGCAAGCTTCACAAATACAGAGTTAGAGAGAGAAAGAAAGATGGAAATATGTTTAATAACAATCTGTATTTAACAATCAATTCATGGAAAGTTCCACAGATAATACGAGATATGAATTTGTCACTGAAGATGAATGAGGTGGTCTGGAGGTTTTTATAAGAATCTTATAGGAGAGATGAAGAGGGAGAGAGAGAGAGAGAGAGAGAGAGAGAGAGAGATGGCAGTAGATAGATAAAGAGAAGGAGAGAGGGAGATGGGGTATAGTCATGTAAAAAATACATGAGCTGGACAGAAGGATAAAAAAGGAATCAGAATGCATGCACTTAGAAGGAGAGAGGATAGTAAAGAAACATACATGTAGTAGGGTGAAATAAGAATACAAAGGGAAGAGCTGGAGAAAATCAAGGAACATCCAAAGACGTAAAAGAGGCATAACGAGAGCCAAAATATGGAAAGGGAAAGGGTGAGAAAGTACAAAAAGAGAGAGGCAGAGACAGAGAGAGACAGAGCAAGAGAAGAAGAGGGAGGCAGAGCAAGAGAAGAAGAGGGAGGCAGAGACAGAGAGAGACAGAGCAAGAGAAGAAGAGGGAGGCAGAGCAAGTGAGGGAGAGGGAGGCAGAGAGATGGAAAGGGTGAAAGGATAGACAGAGAGTAAGAGATACAGAGACAGAGCAAGAGAAGGAGAGGGGAAGAGAAACAGAGCAAGAGAGAAGAGAAAGAGAGAGAGAGAGATGCAATGGAGAACGATGCATTCAATATTTCCAGCAAAAATAAAATTAAAAGAATATTTACTATACAGTGCGTCCCAGTAAAAACGTAACCGAGAATTATCAACGTTATATTACAATTATAATTAACAAATGACACATATTTGTAAAGCTTCCTTGTAGACCCTCCTCTTTTGATGCAACTCATATGATGCATATTTCACGCATGAGGGATTAAAAGCAATTTGAAGAGAGGAAACCAAAAGGTCATTAGGCGGACGGTATCTGAATTTCAAAAAGAAAATCACATATCTAGAAAGTTCATTTTCTGCCTTTTCATACATGTATGACACCTCAATAAGGAAAAATGAGCCAGGAATAACAAATTTCTGTTTGTTTAAAGTAATGCCTGCATTTCCATAATTTGATTAAACAAATTTGTTTTCACTGGCTGCCTGCTGTAACAACAAACAGAGTTGATAAAAGACTTGACTCTGTTTCCTTGACGATCAGTCATGCACAAGAAAGACAAAAGAAAAAAGACATAGGGTGGTATTCTCTTAAGTTAAGCCGGGACTAAGTCCAGACTAAACAAGAATTTTAGTTCGCACTTCTATGGAATGCTAGGTTTCATCTTCCTCCTTCAATATTCATGACAAAGATAATCTACCAAGGACTTTGTTGAAATTTAGTGTATACTCATATTATCTTTTTCTTCCTATTTCAGTGCAAAATTAATTTTTTGGACACTTTTCATTAAAGGATTAAAATAATCTGTTCAGGGTAAATTAGTTCACAACAGGCACTCCATAAAAGTGTGAACTAACTAAGCACGCGCTAACTTAGTACGTGCTACCGGAATACCACCCATTATGACCTTGAAAATGTTGCTGTCACGTCTTATGACAATGACCTATGACTGTGCCAAAATTGAAAGAAATGGACAGTGCTTGAGTTATCTTGTACACAACAAAGTGCGGAGAAAGAAATAAAAATAAAGAACAAGAAATTTAATTCGTCATTGAAACAAATTAGGTGGTCTGTTATTTAATATGAATAACTGGTTGACTACGGTAAAAAACTGTATAAACATCTTTGAAGGAGAGTAGAATCATATAAATATATAAAGGATGAATTGATGTTGCAGTATACATTATCAATCATGATATTGGTGATAGGGATGATGACGATTGTAATTTAAGTATCCTGTTCATGTGATGTAGTCAACTTACAGACTATAATGTATATTCAGTTAGAGGGTAAACTCATGCCTTTTATTATATACCCTCCTCACATGTTAAAGGGATAGTTGAGTTCTTGTTTCAGACCGCAAATGCCTTCAAAGTGCATGGTTATTGCTCTAATTCTTATTTATGACATATCTAGTGCCCTTTTAGGACCTAAAATTGCTATGAAGGCAATGTTAGACCCCAAAATGTGTGAAATTTAGTCAATACGATCGTACCGATTCAGCTCTACTTTCCCAAAAATATGGTGAGCGTTAATTAATTAATCAATTAATAATAATACATGGGCTGGCTAGTTGTGCGTATCATAAACACGAAAAAGCCAACATCGGCTGGAATAAAACGTATGAGGCGCTACTTCGTTTTTTCAACGGCTGGTTCAAATTATCTAATATTTGTGGTGTTACACAAATATTAGAAATGGTTATATTTATGGATATTTCAGCCGTCTCTGAACCGATTTTGATCAAACAGAGGTGACTTTGTCATTTAAATTGTATGTTCTTTTAAATTTGACACTCAGTTTTTCATTATCTTACCAAACAAATAGTTTGTGTAGCCTCCTCTGCAACAGAACTCAACTATCCCTTTAAAGATACTATGTCCCTTTTGCAGCCAACCTCAAATTCTGTAGAACTTTGCAGGAATTATGACTATGTCATGTATGTCCCATCTGTGAAATTTAAACGTTAGCAGTGCCCTAATATGCAAATTATGCAAGGAAACCCGTTTACTTGCTAGACTTCACTGTCAGACACTATTGTCAGTATTGAGTGACTAACTGGCTTTTTCTTCTTCTTTGGTAATAACATACATAAAATGAGCTGTAAAGGATTTGTCTACGTCAAAAACCCACTTCTTTTAATGGCCAAAATTAAACTGATTGAATCTTCGCGCAGCATAAAACGTTCGGCCATGCGGTACAATGGTCTGAAAATCAAGACTATTACTTATTGGCCCTAAGTCGATTTGACAACTAATAGTCGTTATTTTCCCACTTAAAGACAAGTTCTAAATTAGTATTATCTTTCAAATGCTATTGGAATTCAACCTTTTCTCTTTTTTTTTGGCCTGCAAAAGGGACATAGTACCTTTAAACACTAATGCAAGTCATGCAAATTCATGATGTGAACAAAATTCACCTTCCATAGGCATAACACGCAAATAAAGAAAATTCTGACATGTCGCCTTAAATTTGACGTCATCAAAATGAAAAATGAGGTTACTTAATTGTCTTAGCTACAACATATCAAAATTTGGAAGAAAATTGATCAATAATGACAGATACAATCAACTTTCCATAAATATGTGGACGTCATAATATGCAAATTCCCATTTTGAGTTTCAAGGCTATTATGATGATGTTATGATATACGTAATTATATCTCTGACTCAAACTCTATCCAAATATGGAAAAAATGGGGGGTCTATGAGCATCCTAAAGAGCTATAATGGATTTGTTATAGGAATGTTTTTGCCCATAATATGATATGTATTAGAAGAGCTCGCGCGGACGCTCATTGGGTTATTAATGGTCATAAAGATATAAACATGCTATCAATTTGTTTGGAAAAATTGGAGAATATCACAACAACAAAAAAAAGGCGATTCTATGTTGTGTACGACCATGACGAACCAATCGCGCGCAAGTTTTTTTAGCAATGCTCAAAATGGCCTGAAACGTACGCAAAATGAATTTGAGATGATTTGGAGCATTTCAAAATTTTTGCGTTTTGATCATGATAAATATGAATGGGACATGACTTTCTGTTATGAAGATATGATCATGAGTTGATTTTCAGAGAATATCACTAAATGGCGCCTGAAACTGTTAATTTTCACGTCTCATGAAAATGACCTACATGTATGACTGTGCCAAAATTGAAAGAAATACACTCCCAGATAACTGTTAAATGTCTTTTTGAGTAGAATATTTAACCCACGCATTAGTATTCATGCATGGAACCCATGTCTGACTTTCGTTTCGAGTGCACCCTATATGCAGGATTTTATCATTTATTCTTCATACACTTTAATAATAATAATAATAATATTCCGCTTTTATATCGTGCCCAATACATCAATACAATGATGTGCCTAAGCGCTATAAAGACATATTATTATACCCGGTCATCGGATTCAGGCTTACCCACACACAATGTGTGCACATTTTCCACTCCCTGGGGAGGATTCCAGCCAGTCGCCATTTAATAATTGCACACTTGCTCATCCAACCACATGACCTTTCGCATCCTACCGGGTACCCATTTAACACCTGGGTGGAGAGTAGCAAGTGCAGGTAAAGGATATTAGTGCCATGTCGGGATTCGAACCCTCGACCTTCGCATCTCCAGTCAAGCATTTTAGGCCCAATTTATTTATTTATTTCTAATATTTTGACAGGGTAGCCCATTCACCAACAAGTAGTGGTCTTCCATGGGGCCCTGAATGAACATATTTACATCGTTTATAACATTTATACAGAACAGTTACAAAAATAATACTCGTTTGCAAAATAAATATAATCATTAACCTAATAAACAGTAATGTCAATAGGAAAATATTAATTAAGTCGCAATTATGTGAATAAGTCATGTAAATATTACAGAACATGCACGTAGTGTATGTACGGCTGAGCCATTCACAAATTACAACTTTGTTTAAACAATCTCTTAAATGAATTGACAGAGGAAGCCGTTCTCAATGAATTATCTAGCTTATTCCATTCAAATATGGAAGAAACAATTGGGCTACACTTATAACAATCAGTGTGAAATCTAGGCACACGTAAACATCCACTGTCTATTTGCCTTGTATGATGCTCATGTACATCATTAGGATTGATTAAGCCTACCTGAAGGTAAGAAGGTGCTAAGTTATGAACGCATTTATATATCATCATAACGCGACTTTACTCAAACCGCTTGTCTAGTGTCATCCATTTAAGACTTGTGAACAAATCAGCCGACGGTGTGTCATATGTCTTGTTCAATATTATTCTTGCGGCCCTCTTTTGAATTTTTTGCAGCTTAGTTGTATGAGAATGAAATCGGTTCGACCATACAACAGAGCAGTAATCTAATCGTGGCAACACTAGACTGTTATAAAGTAACTTTAAGGATTTTTGAGGCAAAAAACTTTTTGCTCTCTTTATCATGCTAATGTTTTTCTGGGTAAGTTTACTTACGTTTTCGATTTGTTTAGACCATTTCAATTCTTCATCTATCAAAAGTCCTAAGCATTTGGTGAATTGAACTCTTTTGATCAAATTGCCGTTTAATGAAATGGTAAAGATTCAATTTTCTTGAGATTAGCAGGAGAGCCTATTAACATGACACAAGTTTTTTCAGTGTTAAGAACAAGACGATTTTCCTTAATCCATGCCATGACTCTGTTTAACGCAACAGTTAATTTTTCTTCCACAACAGTTGCATCATTTGCACTGACGGTAAGTGTCGTATCGTCAGCATACATATCTATGATACCTTCAGGAGTACATTCAGGTAGACTATTAACATATATTGAAAATAAAAGGGGACCAAGAATTGAACCTTGTGGCACACCTAATTTGATGGTTGATGGATGCGACTTGGCTCCTTTGAATTGGGTCACTTGTTGTCGATCCCCTAAATATGATTTGAACCAATAAATAGTCCTATTACTACAACCTATACAAGCTAGTTTATGTAGAAGTAGCTCATGGTCAACAGTATCAAAAGCCTTACGAAGATCTATGAAGGCAACTCCAGAAATTTTTTTGTTATCAATATTCAACGACCATTGATTTACAAGTTTTGCAAGGGCAGTAGCTGTTGAATGTTTAGGTCTAAATCCAGACTGATTAGGGTGTAATAATTGATTCACGTCCAAGAATTCACTGAGTTGTTGGTGGACGGCCCTTTCTATAATTTTACTCACGATATTTAATATTGAAATGGGGCGGTAATTATTCAAAGAAGAAATATCTCCAGATTTGAATATTGGTACTACCCGAGCCTTTTTCCATTCACGTGGAACAACTCCTGTAGACAGGGATTTGTTAATGATATCACAAAGAGACTCTGCGATAACATTCTTCGTCATCTTTAAAAGTTTACAGCTGATGTGATCTTCACCAGTTGCTTTATCTATACTCAGATTATCAATCTGTTTCAATACAAAATCCTCAGTAATCAAATTCAAATTAAATTGCGAATGAGTTGGACCAATATTATTGTCCTCGTCTACTCTCAGTTGAGACTTATTCCTTCGCAGGTCCTTTGTAATCTTAGTAGCATTAGAAATGAAAAAGTCATTAAAAGCTTCAGCAATATTTGCATTGTCTGACACATTAGCACCATCAACATTTATGCTATTGGGAGATATAGGTAATGACTTACATGTAGGCACCAGGTTTCTCAAACATCTCCACATTTGCTTACTATTATTATGATTTTGCGAGATCTGGTCTGCATTATATTCTCTTTTTCTTTTCCTCATGAGATGAATAACTGTATTCTTTAGATATTTGTAGGTGTCCCAAAGATCATCACTTTTGTTAGCTTTAGCAGCTTTGAGAACTTTATCACGTTCCGTCATAAGCTTAACAATCTCATCAGATATCCATGGACATGCCTTTTTTCTTATCCGCTTTTTACATACTGGTATGTGCTTGTTGATTATATTATTGAATAGAGTCAACCACATATCCCACGCAACATCAACATTATCTATATCTTTTATGACCTGCCAAGGAGTACTTCTCAATTCATTGTAAAATTTCTCCTCGTCAAGATTTTTAAACGAGCGAAATTCTGCGTATTCAGATTTGTTATGGATCTTTGCACTAAAATCGCGAACCGTATACACCAAATAATGATCACTTATGCTAGTTTCAAATATTCCCCATTCATTGTAAAGTTCCTTGTCTGATACAAATATCAAATCAATTAAAGTAGAAGAGGTATTTGTAACTCTTGTGGCAGTATCAATTAGCTGACTTAGCCCGTACATATTTGTATAAAACATTAACTTTTCAGCATTCAGATCAAGTTGGTGTGGCATACAATCACAATTGAAATCACCTAAAATAATACAGCTCATATCTTCCGAGAGAGCAGAGTCCAAATTTTCGTCTAATTCTTCAAAGAAATCAAATTCTATTTTCAAGTTATATAAATGATATGTGTATTTGTATAAAAGACTTAAAACTATTATTTTACGCAGATGACAGCGTACTTCTGTATTCAAATCCTGATCCTAAATATATTGAGGAAAAAGTCAGGGAACAGCTGTCTATGTGTGTCGATTGGATGACTGATAATAAGCTTTCTTTACACTTGGGGAAAAACAGAAAGCATTTTGTTTTGTTCTAAAAGTAGTTCTAAAAAGTCATTTGAATTCAAAAAGACACTCAATAATCAAGTAATCAAGAGAAAAGATTCTGTGAAGTATTTAAGCATTGATTTGGCTAGTGCAATTTCATTTTCATCTTTAGTAGAATCAGAGATAAAAAATCAAATTTTCGTCTGAAAGTTTTGTACAGATATCAAAGTTGTATGGATTTAAAAGCAAGACGTACACTCTGTTTTGCTCTTATTCAATGTTTATTTAACTATGCTAACCCTGCATGGTATAGTAACATAAACAAGTCAGATCAAAAGAAGTTGAAGATTATACTCATGTTGGCTACAGCGAACTTTCTAAAGCTGGTTTTCTTGAAGTCAACCAAAGATCAAAACAACTTGTATTGCATCACGTGCATAAAATATATCATACTAGGTCGAATCATTATATTTGATCCAACTTTGATCTTGTTACTGACGTACATAATTATAATACAAGAAACGGCCGATTCAACTTTAAATTGCCAGAAAGAGTAGGTAGTATTGGAAATTCGTTTTATTACAATGCCATAAAACATTGGAATTCCCTTCCCAATGGTGTAAAGGAAATAGAAAACTATGCTCATTTTAAGAGGAAATTAAAGGAATACCTAATGCTTGACAGTCAGAGAAGAGAAGTGAATGACATATTATATGATTGAAATTTGTATTCTTCTGCCGGTTCATACTTTTTCATTTTGTATATACTTATGTTTTCGTACATCATAGAATTTCTACAAATTCATCATTATTTTCCTCTTCTTCCTCCTCCTCATTTTCTTCTTCTCCTTCTTCCTTTCCTTCTTGTACTTATTATCATTTCTATCATTAGTTTAATGTTGTTATTATTATTATTATCTTTAATAAGTAATTCTTTTATTTTTCTTATCTGTCTGTAAATATTACTATTTTAACTTGTTAATTTTATACATGTCTATAGGGGACCCCACTGGAAATAAGCTCTCGAGCTTTCGTGGGTTATCCTGTTCAAGCTGACTTATTTTTCATCTGTTATTATTGTATATTGTTGTATGTTGAAAGCTTGTCGAATAAAAATCAATTAATCGATCAAAACCCCTTAAGCCACTCGACCAGGACACTCCTTTAACCGTTTACTCATAGAATGCCAGGTAAAGTTTTTTAAGGTTGATTTGATACATTAGTACCTTCACAAAAATCAGTTTTTCAGGCGAATGAGTTAATGCCTTTCTGGCTCTAAGCAAAAAAAAGGACTTCTGATAAATTAGGATCAATTAGAAACATAGTATTAGGCTAGGCCCTATACAAATGTGACTATTATTATGAACAAGATGATTCTAAATGACTCTTAATGAACATGGTAGGCCGGGGGTTTTTCTGTAAAGGTGGTTGCTATAAAAGCAGGTTTCACTTTACTTACATGGGATGAGAGATCAGGTCTGTGCTTCATGAACCAGTCCAATCTCTTCTTGAAACCAGGTAGTTTTTCAATCACTTCCTCATCTAATGTCAGCGAGGCGTAGAGTGGAATCAGGCCTACCATGGAGCGGATCCTTAGAGGAACAGTACAGGTTGGTGTCTTCAATACATCATAGTAGAATCCATCCTTTTCATCCCATAGACCTTTAAAGACAAAGAATGAAATAAATTTCACTTTAAACTTTTTTGGGGTATCCTTGTAGGAATTTATTCCTTGAGCACCTAAGGCCAGCTGGGCTAAAGCCAGGGTAGTATTAGTACTTTGTAGACACCTTGAGCATCCCCTCGGATGGTACTGCGCGTAACGTAAAGCTATTGTTATTAATAATATTAGTTTACTTTTAGCATAAGAACTGATGTACATTCAATATAAACTAGCAAATAATTATATAATATTGACTGGCCTTGAGGGGTATATCAGAAATATTGACCAAGCTCAGATCATATTGCCCCGAGTCGAAAGACGAGGGCAATATGGTCTTAGCGCGGTCAATATTTCTGATATCCCCCGAAAGTAAAGCCAGTCAATATTTTTATTGTTATCCAAATCAGACATCTAGAGCAAATACAGACATCCACCATGACAATCTCAAGAACTGAACAAACTTTGTCAAACCAACACTGTGCATCCAGTGCTTGACAAAATTTTCGATACACTGCAAACAGTGTGTATTTGGTGTGATTATTACGTCACAATAGAGTGCGCGCAAAGTGCGCAGGTTCTCGTACGCATAATATTAATAGATGCGCAATGAAAATGCGAGACCGTGGAAAATACCAAGGTATATTTTCACTCGTCTCTACACGCAAAGTCAATACGCGCAGGGAGACCAAGGAAAATACAAAGAATATACCCCTCCGTTCCCACTGCTAGTGAAAACTAGGGCAATACGGTTTTGTAAATGACCAGCTCAGATGTCTGATACGGGTAATAATACCCAATTCTGATTTCTAAAAAACGACTACTGTAGTGTGTTTTTCTCCCAAGCTGGACATGTTTCCTTTAGAAAAACAGAGAAGCAAGTACATGTTTTTGGTCAAACCATGATGATTTCAGATAATTACATCCCATTGTTAAAGAGAGAAGGTGGAATCTCATCTCTTACCTCCACCTCCTGACATGGCATTCATAGCATCAATGATTCCTACAAAGTGTTCAAAGAACTTGCTAGCCATGTCTTCATATGTTGGGTCAGTTCTGGCTAGTTCTAAGGCAATGTCCAGCATGACAACACAGAAGAAAGCCATCCATGCTGTACCATCGGCCTGTATAGGAATAGAATCGACATGATTTCCATATTGTCAGAAAACCTTAGATAACCACAAAACAATTTGATTGCTACTGATAATTTTTTAAGATTTGTATACAATTTACATTTTACGATCTCTCTCCTTCATCTCTTTTAGCACAATTCTCCAATGCTTTCTACTTTCTGCGTCTCATTCCTTGGTGTTTATTATAGTTTACTGGTTCTGAATAAACAACTCAGCCATAAAAAGGAACAGTTATATTGAGAGCATAATCACAAGTAAAATGATACATTTTCACTTCTTTAGTTTAAATCCTAAACCTAGTACATAAAATACCTTTTCATACTTAGCAAATCAAATACATAATAGAATTGGAACATTTGAGACTGCAAGTACATAAAACTAAAAGAATAAGATAATGGAGAGAAAATTAGGACTTGTTAACACTTGTTACTGTTACTATTCTAGGACTGACCTGTTCCAAATGACCTCCTGTTGGTAGAGGTCGTGACCTGTCAAAGACTCCAATGTTATCAAGACCTAGGAAACCTCCAGAGAATATATTCTTACCATCAGGATCCTTACGATTCACCCACCTAGGAGTGAAAAATATTTATCATTAAATCTACCAAATAAACCAGTTATTAATTTTGTGCATTGTTCTTAAAGAACAATTTGCACTTGAATGCAGGCGTGGATCCAGGATTTCTCAGGGGGCCCAAATTTGAAATCAATTTTTTAATTTAGTGTGCTGAAATGTAAAAATCGTGCCGGCCAATATTTCGCTCAGTGGGGGGGGGGGGGGGGGGGGGGGGGGGGGAGTGGGGTGGGAAGAAAAACAAATTTGATCCGCCACTGCTTGAATGACCTGAAAGCAACAATTAACAAGTCCAAGATGAAGCACACTTTAGCTTATCCACAGAAAAGGACATATTTATATTTGATTAAGTATTTGATATTCTTCCCAATTTTGATGATGAAGAGGATAAAAACAACTGCACAGTTAATTTGTGCAGATGATTTGAAGAAACTGCAATAATAACTTGAATGAAATATCTAAATTCTAAAATTTGGTTGAACCATAACAGCCAGTGTATTGAGGTCTAGGTTTCATACCAAGGAGATTCACTCATGTCTCCATTAATACAAATGTGAACTGTACAGCTTCTTTTGTCTTTCAGCAAATATACAAGTACCGTACAGCCATGTAATGAATGTACAGTGAATCAACCCATTGCTTACAGTTTGACCAAACACCTGACTACCCACCGATATGGTTTGATTTCATGAAAGGCAAACAGACCCCTGTTGTCGTGAAAGACATGGCATGTGTATGCATATTTATTAACATACGTTGTTCCAGGAAGCAAGACGCAGCTTGTCGTGCATATTCATGAGCCCTGCGCTGTCTTGTGTAAGAATCAAATGCTCTATATTTTCTGAATTCCATCTGAAATAGTCATGCTGATCACTCTCTAGCTCCAAGTACCAGAGGCTTATTTCTTTGTGAGCACTTTGGTTTGTATTTGAATAAGTATGTTATGCAATTAGCAAGAGCGAGCAAGGCAGGGAAGAATGGCTATGCTAATGAGCACAGGCGGAGCATTCCATGATTGGCAAGTTTCCGTCTTCGTAGCCAGGGAAAGTGGGAAGCAGTATCAGCTCTGCCCCCAATTCTGACCTGGAATGGACAGCAACTCGGGTGGAAGACGTGACTGTAATCAAGGTGTACAAGCCACCCCGCCAGGCTACTAGAAGACTCCATCCCATCCTTTGATCAACCCTGCATGTATGCTGGAGATTTCAACTGCCAGAGCACAGCATGGGGTTACCGCACGACTACTCCAGATGGTTCTGGTGTTCACCTTCTATATGACTCGAAGGAGCCCGACAGCTTTTACTCTGGCCAAAGGAACACAACTTTCAACCCTGATCTGGCCTTTGTGAATCTGAATGGATCATCCAACACCGTTCAGTTTTGGACCCTTTCCACAAGTCACAGCACAGAGCATCACTGATCACCCCAGATAACCCTGTGGAATCAATCTTTTCCAGACCTGTGAAGAGGTGGAACTTCAGAAAGGCAAAGTGGAATCAATTCAGGGAACGGGTTGAAACTAGGATGGACACCCTACCTCTTCCTGCTCCCAGGAATTTGGACAGAGCCTACTCAGCCTTTTGCAAACATCTCATTGACTTGGCCAAACGTGCTGTTCCCCGTGGATACCGTCAATGCTACATCCCTACTTGGGATGAAGAGTGTGATAAATGTTAAGATGCATTTATACATACCGTCAGTGATAAAGAGAGTGCCTCCTTGGCCACAGAGCTAACAAACTGTCTAGATAAGACGCGGAGGGAACGTTGGGAATAGACAGTCCAAGGTATCGACTTCACCCATTCTAGCAGGATAGCTTGGATGACCCTTAACCGTCTCACTTTCCACAGCTCCCATCCGAAGCACTGCCCTGTCACAGCAAACTCCATCGCCCAGCAGCTGCTTGCCAATGGCAACTTCAAGAATGCAGTCAAAGGCCATGCCCGTATTGTCAAACAGGAAATTTCAAGACTCTGGGATGCTCCAGGCATAGATGGTTTCCTCTCCAAACCCTTCACATCTGCTGAGCTCACATTGGGTGTCTCCTAACTGAAATGTGGGAAAGCTCAGGGCCCAGACAACATCCCCCCAGAATTTCTAAAGCGCCGCGGTCCCAAGAATCTGGACTGGCTACAGGAATTTTACTCGGCCTGCCTCACTGGGCTGAATTTATCCCGAAGATCTGGAGGAAATGTTGCCTTTTCAAACCCAACAAACATACAGATAATCCTAAAAGCTACAGGCCAATTTCACTCCTGTTCAAGCTTCTCGAAAGGCTTCTTTTGGCCCGATTCAACCCAGTGGTTGATCCCCAACTTCTGGATGAGCATGCCAGTTTCCGTCATGGTCGGTGTAATGTCCATTAGATTGTCAAGCTGACTAATGATATAGAAGAGAGCTTTGAAATAGGCAACAAGGCACGTGCTGTTCTAGTGGACCTCACTGCGGCTTATGACACAGTGTGGCATCATTGGCTTGATACTAAAGCTTCTTTGTACCATCCTTGACCTTCACCCAAGATCTAGGTCGCCAACGCCTTCAATCGCGTCGACCTTTCTCCCAACATGCAGCCACCCTCAGCAGATCAGACTTCAGCCTAATCCAAGAATGGGAAAAGAGCTTGGAAGGGACCGTTCGCCCACGGCAGTTCACTGTTCCCCCTGGCATCAAAGCTCTGGCTGGCTCTGAGCTACCTCGGAAGGAATTGGGTAACACTCAATAGACTGCGAACTGGGGTAGGAAGATTCAACGCTTATTTGTACCATTGGGGACTTTGGCAATCACCAGCATGCATCTGTGGTGCAGATGAGCAGACAGCAAACCATGTCATTTGCAACTGCCTTATTCCCAAACCTCCTGACGGGATGACTGAACTGTCAAGCCCAAATGATGCACAAGTCAATTTGCTTACCCAGCTTCAAGAAATAACTTGATATATGATACTACTACCTCATACGAAAGAAGAAGAAGATCATTTGTGTGACTACTATACCGCAATAATGATCTACAAAGGTGAAATTGTATGTTAAAAAAGTGCATTGCCATTTTTGTCTCCTAGCCCAAGAAAAAATCTAAGGCTCTGTATCTGAGTGAAAAATGCCCAGCCCGAGATATCTCCGGAACCGTAAACAACGAGTTAAATATTGTTTAAATGTAGTGCATTGCATAATTTTCAATCCGAACTCATTTATTTCCACACACCATGTAAAGTTGATGAGGAGTTTCTGGAAACACCTAGCTAGGAAGAGTCTATCCCTCTGACCTCTGACCCCCGTCATCTTGAAGACCCTGAAAACTGCCCAAGCATGCACCGGTGGGTTTACATCACTAAACTGGAATTCATATGCTGGTATCTGGACAACAATCAACAAAATTAAAAAGAGACAATTTTGAAATTCATCTCAATCATAAGAAGAATACTATGATAAAGTTTATACATTTTTAAAGACAGCATTGATAAATAATAATTACTGCCATGAAAAGGTTATTAAATGAGCTGCTACATCAGCATCAAATACATCCTCTATTAATTCATTTTCAGTCCTGTACACAATCAGAGTATGCAAGAGAAACAACAAAAGCTAAAGTTCTTTTCTGACCTAATAGACCTACTAGACCCCTCTCAAAGAGAATATTTAGTATGCATTAACTAAAACGTTGTGTACTAGTTACATTAGGAATGTCGAGGTCGGGTGGTTTAAGGCGCTTGTCTGGAGATTTGAAGGTTAAGGGTTTGAATCCTGACATGGCACTAATATCCTTTGGCAAGGTATTCTACATTTTTATTTACCTGCACTTGCTTCTCTCCACCCAGGTGTTAAATGCAAAAGTTCATGTGGTTGGATGAGCAAGTGTGCACTTATAAAATGGCGACTGGCTGGAATGCTTCCCAGGGAGTGGAAAATGTGCATGCATTGTGTGCAGGTAAGTCTGAATCCGATGACCGGGGTAATAATATATCTGTAAAGCGCTAAGGCAACATCATTATATCGATGCTATTGGGCACTATATAAAAGCGGAACATTATTATTATTATCAAGCAAAGTTTCAGCCATTAATAACTTCTTCATCTATCTGGACAATCGTACATTCTTCTTTCTATAGTTTGTGTGCTCATTAGATTGAACTCTTAATCCCATGTCTATCTTTTCTAATGAACCTAGACATACAATCACTTTAACAAAAAGAACCTATTCTCAAGCTCAATGTTCAAAAGAGCTATCAAACAAGACAAATGCAACGATAGCAAAAAGCTTATAATCAAATGTCACTATAATCTTGACCTACTAGCCCAAGAAATGTAATTGGATAATCTTCAGGTAGAAATACTGTCACCATGTTTGAAGCTCATACCTCAAGAAGCTCTTGACATATTGTGACAAGGATAACACCTCTAATTTCAAATATTGATCTCTATGACCTTTAACCTTTGTTTACTTACCCTAAATTCTAATTAGGTCATCTTCCTAATACAAACTTTCACTTTGTTCAGAGCTCATACCTCCATTTGTTCATGAAGATATTGCAATATCAAAGCTAATGCTTGTAATTTCAGCCACTGACATCTATGACCTTTAATCCTTTAACTCCAAAATCTAATCAGATGGTCTTCCTACGATGGTCAACAAGGCTAATAGTTGAAATTTCATTAGTTGACCTCTGTGACCTTTACCCTTCGACCTAATACCTCCAAAATCTAATCGGATTGTCATCCTATGGTGATACATACTATCATGAAGTTTGCAGTTCATATCTCAAGTGGTTCTAGAGATATCGCGAGAATGAGAATGAGAAAGAGGGACAGACAATCTGAAAACATAATGCCTCCGGCACCACCTTCGTTGGGCGGAAGCATAAAAATAATATTTTGAATATTTCAAACTCTTTGATGATTGTTGAATCAACAAACATTCCATTGTATCTAAATATTGTAATTTCAGATTCACCTATATCTACTTAATCAAAAATAGCAACGCGTCGTTGCTACATACGCACAGCATCACTACAGATGCGCAGTTTTGAAGCAACAATATTTGGTAATTGCCATTTGGTGATGGTGGTTATTTTACCTGACTGCTAAGAAAGCATAAATGCTTGAAGTAAGTAACCAGACGGCCGACGGCTTTAGGTCATCTCCGAGGGACCTGGTAATGAGGATTAATGCCTTATCAAAGAGCACTAGCACATCGACTTGGTTTCACACGCGGGTCACCGGATTACGAGACCACTGCTCTACCGACTAAGCTATCGCACATTATTCAAGGAACAGGTTAGTTTAAAATCCGTCTAGCCAGTTGCAGACCACCTTATGTGTGTCTGCATCAGAAATAGATTTAATTTTTAAACATCTGTCACATCTGGCAACTGAAAAAGAGTGTGACACTGACCTGTTTCTTCTTTTTTGTTTTTCTTTTTTTTTGGCAAGTCATCGCCCTCCGCCTGCCAGATTTTAGAGAATTTGGGTTTTTTAGGCGGTTTGGGTTTTTTCACAATGTAAATTATTATATCTCTTACCTGACCATTTGGAGCCATATACCATTCTCTGAGGAAGAGCAGAAGTTGTTCCTTGGCAAAGAATGGATCTATCTTGGCAAACGGGATCATGTGAAATGCAAGGTCCCATGATGCATACTGGAAGAAAAAAAACATTTTGATTTTAATCATGCTTTTCATTGTCATTATTCTCATCATTATGATTTGTACCTATGACCGTGAGTTGCATACCTATTCTATGGAACAAACATTGATGTGCTACATTATACTACCAAAAAAAGGATTAATATTGTTATGATATTGTAGGGTGGCCTATACGGCTAAGGTATGGCGAAGGCACAGCGGGTCTCTAACTTGCAGAGCATAACAAACTCACACATCTGCACTCCATGCTTGCATGTGGGGAACTGCTTGGGAATTGCATGCTTTGCAACCCGAGGGTTTATTTACATATATCTACATGGATTTGCATGTACATTGTATAACAACAGTAACTAATACATATGCAAATATCAGAGCTGGTAAATAAAGGAGGTATGGGAATATTTATGCGTATCAATGAGCTGCTATGAATATTCAATAAAGCTTAACCAATCATACTGTAAAGAACGATAAACCAAAGAATGAACATAAAAGGATAAACGTGAAAGGAGTAATAAAAGAGACTAAAGTTGGGGAGAGTGAACATAGCACGAGAGCATGTAGAGGGAATGGTGACGGTGATTGAATATGATGGAATGAGCAACATAGAGTTTGATAATAGAAGAATGCACATAGACATATGGCAAGATAGGATGCTTTCATACATATTCTACAGTACAATGTCCCGTTCAAAATATAGCTCTACAATATCATGAGAGTGAACACAATGGTACATATGACAGTACTTCATTATAATCTTCAAATGAGTACATACCACCTATAATTGTGCAAATTACAAGTATAATCTCTAGTTCTTATATTTATAACCATTCAGGGTGCTACAAAAATGTTTGTTTCCGCTTGCTCAAATTGATTGCTGTCCATAACCAAGCATAATATTCACTTGCCTGATCTTTATAATGAGGAGTTTTCTCTTCCTATAACCAACCAGATTTCTGAATTGAGTGTTGAAAATAAAAGGTAATTTTGTTCTTGATATACATGTTGAGAAGGTTTGCATGTAAGAATGTGCAATTAAATTTGCAATTTATCTCTATAAAAGTAATGCCATTTGAAGCTCATATTTGAATTTAGTATAGCGCCATGGAACCCGCAGCAAACAGAACAAAATATATTTTGATGATTGGTATACAAATAATACACAGCAGTGAGGGCATTAGTAAGAATTACCCACACAAGGTACCTTTGGAAAAGTCTAACACGCCCGAGGCGATAGCCGAGGGCGTGTTAGACTTTTTCAAAGGTACCGAGTGTGGGTAATTTTATAATGCCTGAACAAAATGATGTGTATTATTTGTTTTATAAAATTATGACTTGGATCCTTGTATTTGATCAATCACCCTCATATCAAACTCAAATGCTTGAATTCACAAAGGAGGTTTAAATCTAAACCCGATTGTTTAAATCCTCATTTACATAACCCATGGTTTAAAATAAGCGTAAATTGAGGCGTAACTTGCCTTGCGCCCGTCTAATATTGGACCTCTGACTCTTGTGTCGCACTTTTGATAGCAACAACAAGCTAGATGTGTTAATGACCGGTCATTACCCAAATTACGTGTTAGGCAAAATAAATGCCTGGTCACGTGTACGCTTTCAACCAATCATTTGATTAGGATTTACGTCATCTTTTTATAATACTCTTTAAAGCGTGCTCTTACCCAGGGATATTCCCACTTGTCTGGCATGGAGATGATATCTCTGTTGAATAGATGTTTCCATTCCACATTTCTACCGCTCTTTCTACTCTCCGGTGGGTTAGGTGTGGCTTTGTCTCCTCCTAACCAGCTCTCTACGATGTAATGATAGAACTGCTTGCTCCATAGCAGACCTCCATAACACTGACGGGCCATGCTACGCTCTTCTGGATTGCAGTTGGCTGGAATGACCTAGGATGAAGGTAAAATTGATGGTATTAAAACTAAAATGAAACTAATTCCAGTTGCCACCATTATAAAGCTATTACAGAGTATTTGCTTGGCAGTAGGAATTCAACAGTGAAGAAACTGCCATGAATAAGGAGCAGAATAGATAATCATGATGAGGAAAGAGTACAAAAGCACTATACAGAGTAAACTGATATGAAAGATCACACATGTAGTAGGATTTTTAGTTTCTGGAAGGCATGTCCCATCAGCAGGCTGATGTATTACCACTACAATGTGCAGAAGGTATCATTTTAAACTATGGTATGCAATATTGAGAAATTGCAAATTTAATGCACATATTGAAAAGCGCTATACAAACAAAAGTCTGATTATCCATACTTGTCATTCCAATGCCTTTCAATTTTTAATGGCCTTGTCAATTCTGTAGAAAGAAGGGGGTATTAACACTGAGAGATAGAGAGGGAATAGACAATTCCTGACAAGCTAAAAACCAAGAAGCCATAGCGTACAATAAAAATCATTTCCTACCTGATTATAAAACTGATCAGTCTCTTTGATTCTGGCCTCAAACACAGCATCAAAGGCCTCCTCTCCAAAGTATGTCCCAGGATCCTCACTCTCTGCAAAGAACCTGCTCCGTACAACAGCTTTCTCTCCTGCAGGTACCTCTAGTACATAGTGAGGGGCACACTTGGTTCCACGACAACGCACATCTACTGCTTCTTTTACACCTACAGATTTGAGATTTAGTCAATGGTATGAATTGGATGTTTTCTGTTTAGGGTTCCAACACCCTTATACTTCATTAAAACTACCAAACTGATGTCAAAGCAACTACCGGTAATTCTTTTATTGTTAATATTAATCATTTGGTCTTAATTATCCAAGGTAGCCACATCGGTATTAAAGAGATTGGGTATCTCTGTCTCAGATTCTAAACAAAATCCTGGATTTAGCTCATTCTGCAATCGTAATTATAAACCGTTAGGTCAGTCAGGAATCCCATGACTTTTACAAGCTGATCGTCTGTCTAATTATCAAGATATTTATGATTGGAATTCAAAATTTTAAACAACTTTTTCCCCAACGTTTTTTTTGTTTAAACACTGGTCTATTGGGGAAAATGAGTACCGGTATGGTAAAACCGGTCATTCAAAGATTTTTACTTTTTTGAGGCACTTCATGATAATTTGAAGCACAATTTTTTTTAGGGCTTCAATATCCGCCATATCACAGACAATGATAATATGTAGGGTCATGAATCTCATATTTGTCAAACTGGAAACATTGTTAAACAATGCCTTTAAAGCCTCTCTAAAGTGTTGGGAACCCCCAAATTTGATGGCAAAATTTGAATTCTTTTGAATAATGAAGTGGAAGAGGGCAACATTTAACACTAACTTCTGCAAGGATTTTCAAAATAATTGTGTTTGAAGAAAAATATTGATGAAAGAGTACACAATTTGGGTTTTCTGTTGTATGCAGAATACTCAATTTTTCATTTCTTTCATTAAATGGATAGTTGAGTTCTGTTTTCAGACCGCAAATGCCTTCAAAGTGCATGGTTATTGCTCTTGGTCTTATTCTTATCTATGACATTTCTAGTGCCCTTTTAGAACCTAAAATTGCTATGAAGGTAATTTTAGACCCCAAAATGTGTAAAAATTTAGCCAATACGATCATACCAATTCAGCTCCACTTTTAAAAAAACATGGTGACCGTTAATTAATTATTTAATTAAAAATAACAATATATGGGCCGGCTGGCTGTGCGTAACATAACCAACACAAAAATGCCAACAAAAAAGCCAACATTTGGCATTGGCAGAAATACGACGTATAAGGCGCTATTTCGTTTTATCAACGTTTTTGTCAAATGATCTAATATTTGTGGTGGTACACAAGTATTAGAAATCATTATATTTATGGATATTTCAGCCATCCCTGAACCCATTTTGATCAAACAAAGATTGATTTTGTCATTTAAATTGTATGTTCTTTCAAATTTAACACTCATTTTTTCATTATCTCACACAAACTCTGCAACAGAACTCAACTATCCCTTTAACAATATTTGTTTTAAAACCCTTGTGAGGTTTAAATGACACTATCTTTCACATCATTATAACTTTGTAGTTAAATTTTGAGATTTGGGGGAAAATTTTGGGCTCCCAACACTTTAGTGGATCTTTAATACTGCTTTCCCTGTGTGCCCCGCCACTATTACTACCCCAGGACTACCAGGTACCGGGCAAATGTTCAAAGTACCAGATAGCTGGTAATATAGCTGGCAATTTCTAACTCATGGAATTAAAATAAACAGCTTATAAATAAATAAACGAAAGAATGAATAAATAAACGAAAGAATGAATAAATAAACGAAAGAATGAATAAACAAACAAAACATCATGATGACACCCCCCCCCCCCCCCTCCACTTCTTCTAGTCTCAAGCATCTTCTTCATTTAGACACACTTTACTGATTTCTTCGTTAAGGCCGGCTCACATTGTGGCGACAAACGACGGAATCGCAACAAAAAATGTTGCCGACGGATGCGACTGATGATTTTGGCCGTCTGCGGTCGCTAGCGGATTCGTCAGAGACAATTGAAGGCAACACACGATGATTGGTGGGAAATTCAATATTGCAATTCGCAGCTTAACGTACATGTAGCTTGCGTTGCCCTTCTCTTCGTCATAGTGTGAGCCGGCCTTTACAAAATCTTTTTATTAAAACAAATTTTAAAAATAAGTACAAAAAATTAACATATAAAGTACATGTAGTACTTTGAACATGATAAACTCTTAATATTTCTAGGACTATCTTACCATCTATAACGTATGCATTGAAGCCATCTTTGGCAAAGGTTGTGTAATGTTCTACATCGTAGAGTTTCTTCATGTTGGTCTCGTTTTCTGTGAAGAGTATCTCTGGCTTCTCTCCATCTGGTCCCACATCATACACGAATACAAACTTGCCTAGATATTAAACCAAAAAAAATGAACCGACGGTGACCAGAGAGGAAAATTTGATGAGCAAATATATGAAGACAAAAAAGGGCGGATTCTGCACTACCCATATGTACCATTTGAGAAACATCTATTTAGCTGCAGATTAAATACAGACTGTCATGCAAACAATTCTTGCTATCGCCACTATGGTATTCGGCCGTAGAGGGCAGCACTGGCCATGGGTATATGTGTCGAAGGTATGTAATACTTATGTAAAAATATATAACCTTGTATTTGATATTTGAACGCAAAAATAAAATCAATCAAACAAAACAAACAAATGCTGAACAAAGGAAATTTACTATGGATGATGAAAATGATGATAATCAGTCAAATTCAGGGTCTCCCTAGATTTTAAAGGGATCCGGTAACTTTGTCTTAGATCCTTTTTAAAAAATCCTTGATTTAGGCTCATGCTGCAATGATAATTACATGTATTTACTTTTAGGTCAGTCAGGAACCCCATGACCTTTACAAGCTGATCGCCTGTCTGATCATCAAGATATTTATGATTGAAAATCAAAATCAAATTTTGTGTTTGCCAAACGGTTTTCATAACTGTAGTCTATTGGGGAAAACGGGTATGGTAAAAACTGGTCACTCAAAGGTTTTTACTTTTTGAGGCACTTCTTGATCATTTTGAAGCGCCATTTTTTTTAGAGCTGCAATTTAACACCATATCACAGAAACTGATAACACGTAGGGCCGTGCATCTCAGATTTAACATTGTTAAACGATCCCTTTTATGGAAGATATAATGGATTAGAGTCTTGAGAAACACTTTTTGTCAACCACTTTTGTTCAAGCAAGTTCATCATTCAGACATTCAGTGGTAACATACCCAATGTTTCCTGTTAACACTCTGTCTTGTCATTCTTCATGCAAACTTTATATCTCTGCATACCTAACCCCAAAACAATTCCTCCGGCACAATTTAGTCCAGCCATTCATGGGTTAATTACCTAGTGTTTCGTGTGAGCACAACGTCTTGCCGTTCTTCATTAGCGTCATTTTAGGTTTCATGGTACAGCCCTCGTGTGAACAGCCCCATATCCATGTATTACGATACCACAGTGTGGGTAGCACATGGATGGTCGCAGTCTCAGGACCACGGTTGTATACCGTGATACGACTCAGCATGTCGTTTGGTGTGTTCTTCGCATACTCGGCAACTACGTCCCAGTACTTACTCTCGTTGAATACACCTGGATAAAACAATGATACATTATTTTACTTAGGATTGCACAATCATAAAGGTTATTTCCAGTTCCTATATATAGACAAAATATATATAAGTACAAAATAAAAATGTAATCATACAGTGCATGTACATGTATCTGATATAAAATGACTTACCAGTAGCCATAATCCCCATGTATCATGAAACAATGTAAATATGAACATATTGTAAAATAATATGCTATTTCCCTTTTAATATCTATATTTATGATGAAGATGAATAACAGATATATGACAAGGGTCTGCATCACTTTTAGGAAAAATTATCCCAAAATTCAATGGTACAGAATACAGAACGTCAAAAATCGGTGTCACACGAAAGCCGACATACTTACAGATGTTTCTAAAATTGAAACCTTAAGTCTAGTACGTCCTACTCACCTGTATCTTCTAGTTCATACTCTGGATCCTGGACACTTCTTTTCTTGGCCTCTCCTGCAAGATCAGCATATGGGTATTCCCCCTGAGGGTACTTATAGAGCGCCTTCATGTAGCTATGGGTGGGAGAAGAGTCAAGATAGTAGTAACACTCCTTGCAGTCTTCACCATGGTTACCTTCAGGACCTAGAGGGAGAAGGGTTGCAAGACAAAATGATAAAGGTTATGATGGGAGAGGGTACGAGACAGAGTACATGTACATGTAGGAGATGGGGGGAGGCAGGAGGGTGTAGATATTGGAGTGTGGCATTGGGGTGTAGGATGGCTGGGAGGAAGTACATGTACATACAAGGAGATGGGGGGAGGCAGGAGGGTGTAGATATTGGAGTGTGGCATTGGGGTGTAGGATGGGTGGGAGGAAGTACATCTACATGTAGGAGATGGGGAGAGGCAGGAGGGTGTAGATATTGGAGTGTGGCATTGGGGTGTAGGATGGGTGGGAGGAGGTACATCTACATGTAGGAGATGGGGAGAGGCAGGAGGGTGTAGATATTGGAGTGTGGCATTGGGGTGTAGGATGGGTGGGAGGAGGTACATCTACATGTAGGAGATGGGGAGAGGCAGGAGGGTGTAGATATTGGAGTGTGGCATTGGGGTGTAGGATGGGTGGGAGGAGGTACATCTACATGTAGGAGATGGGGAGAGGCAGGAGGGTGTAGATATTGGAGTGTGGCATTGGGGTGTAGGATGGGTGGGAGGAAGTACATGTACATACAAGGAGATGGGGAGAGGCAGGAGGGTGTAGATATTAGAGTGTGGCATTGGGGTGTAGGATGGGTGGGAGGAAGTACATGTACATACAAGGAGATGGGGAGAGGCAGGAGGGTGTAGATATTAGAGTGTGGCATTGGGGTGTAGGATGGGTGGGAGGAAGTACATGTACATACAAGGAGATGGGAGAGGCAAGAGGGTGTAGATATTGGAGTGTGGCATTGGGGTGTAGGATGGGTGGGAGGAAGTACATGTACATACAAGGAGATGGGGAGAGGCAAGAGGGTGTAGATATTGGGCATATGTTATGAAGGGCAAGGATATTGGATGTGGTGTGAGAAGGTCAGAAATAGGAGTGTGTCAGGAGAGAGTTTGGTATTGGTACGTACATTCACATGTAGCAGGAGGGAAAAGGACAATTTGGTTTGGTGGGAGGATATTGGGGTGTGGTGTGAAGGGGGATGATGTTGGGGTGTGGTGTGAAGGGAGATGATGTTGGGGTGTGGTGTGAAGGGGGATGATATAGGGTGAGATGGGGGTGGTAGGATATTGAGGTGTGGCAGAAAACAGTGTCGTATTGGGGGTATGGCATGTAGGATATAACATGTGGAGGGATGGCGTAGGATGTTAGAAGTAACAGGAGGGAGGGAACATATTAGGTTGCAGCAGGAAGGAGAATAACATTTGATTTTGATGTGGAGGGAGGGAGGGGTTAGAAAATTGGGTATGATGGGAGGGAGGATATTGGGACATTGTGAGAGGGAGAATAACATTGGGTGTAGTGGGAGGGGTATGGAGTTAGGGGTAATGGGAGGGGTATGGAGATAGAAATAAACAGGAGGGGTATGGAGACAGGGGTAACAGGAGGGGTATTGAGATAGGGGTGTATCAGGATGCAGGACAGTAAATGGTAAAGTCTACAAGTTCAAGTACAATGAATGAAGTGATTCATTACATACCATGTAACTAATGTCTGACCTCTTTTGATTGTAATGAAATATCAAGTAATTCATTTCATCTTGTAAGTCAAAGAACCTCTGTTGACATCTGATATGTGACATTATATCAGATACATCAATAATAAAGCACCTTCATAACTAACAATCAACAAGTTTCTTCATGTACATGTACATACAGTTATTTGGAGCACCAAATAGAAAGGGGGCCATAGTGGCCTATCATTAAATACCATCATAACTTTAATAGACGGTAGAGTTCTTCTTTCAAGATAATATCTTTACTATTCAGAGCAAAGCGAAGCCTACCACTCTCTAAAAGTGATGCCAACATGACTCACCTGTGAGACCATAGAGTCTTTCTTTCAAGATGGGATCTTTACCATTCCAGAGAGACAGAGCAAAACAAAGCCTACATTCTCTGTCTGTAATACCAAGCAATCCATCTTCGCCCCATCTGTAGGCACGGGATCGGGCATGGTCGTGAGGAAAATATTCCCAGCTGGACAGAATGGATATAAGATTAGAAGAAATATATTTAACCAAATAATAATGAGTAATGATACAATGTGATTATTTATGAAGCACAACTAGTATAAAATACACTCAACTGCACTTACGAAGCATCGTGTTATTACCGCTGCTTTAGCTAGTCAAGGTGCGCAAGCATTCAAAGGTTTTTTCCAAATGACATTAGTGCTGTGATGATAGGATTACAATCATGTACACTGTACCGTATGATCCAAAGTCTGCTGGTTATTTTTTACAATATCACCAAACCACTACTTTACATTTGAGGAAATAAAATCAGATATAATATTGCATGGTTTAAGTAGTGCCTATAGATTGTTATCTGCTGAGAAACCTCAAATACAATTTAATTATTTTTTGCTTCTGTAAAGGTACATGTACATATAGGTAGTGGAACAGTCCTCTTTCCTTTGCTCTCTAAACTTACACTACAAGAACTGCACAGAAATCAACCAATGACATATCCTAGATTAGATTTCTTATGACAATTATTAAACCTGCTGAGGATGATTTGGTTTTGATATATAACACATAGATTTCCCATAAACTCCAACCCAAGTATACTCGTTTCTCAACAGGATAACATTTTTTTACTAAAATAAAAGTTAACAAAGTTTTCAGAGTTAACACCCCCCCCCCCCCCCATTACATAGAATGAGCCAATACATGAACTCACAACCGTTGGTTTTAAAGTAATGATTCATGAACTGTATGTACACTATAGATAAGGAGACTAGATATGTAGTGATGTCGTGGTCGAGTGAATACGTCGCCGAACTGTCAATCACAGGGTCCTCTGTTCGAGTCCCGCCGTGGCACTAATGTCCTTTGGCGAGACATTGATCTACATTTGCCACACTCAACCCAGGTGATGTAAATGGGTACCTGGCAGGAATTATTTCCTTGAAATGCTGGAACGCTGTAAAAACGGCAGCTAGGCTAAAGTCGGGGTAAAAATAAATGCGCATCGGAATAGAATTATCTAGATAGACGGCGCGATAGGAATGCCTATTATTAGTATTATTATATTGATGCTCAGCTACATGTAAGTTCTTGATTAAATTGGATTTGATTGGATAGCATAGCATTTCATTAGAAATACTACATTTTGGACAACTATTGTTTGCTATATGCTAGAACTCAATCCAACCTTTGTAATAAGTTCAATTGTATGAAAGCTGAAAAACAAGATAAACAGAACAATGAAAGTTTGAAACAAATTGGACCCATAATAAGAAAGTTAAAAATGTTCAAATTTGAGTTCACTCTAATAAGTCTATGCGAATCTCATATTGGCAGTTTGCGATGTTGTATACATTTTCTGTGTTACAAATGACTCCACATAAAGTCTGTACTGGCTCTAACAGCCATGAAGCAAATACCCCGGTAAGCGATATTCTATTCAAAAGTTCTATGAAGTCGATGGACCAGACAATAGTCACAACTAAAAATTGTATTGTAAGTACACTTCAAGGCCATGTACACAGGGCAGTTCGTATGATGATACAAATTTGTACAGCTCTTCCTGTTCATATCCACCTTCCTGATTATTCACATGGTTGGTGTATTATTATGTCCTTCCATTTAAGAAAAATAGCTCAAACTGGTTTGGCAGGGCTTTAGTATGGCTGACTACTGTTTTATGCGTCACACCTTTGAGTATGATGCTGCGTATTGCTGCTATCAATACCCAGCCGCGTGTCTAGCAATACCCGGCAAATTTGAAGGTAGCAGTCACACTATTGCATATCTATCTTGTAGGTAGCTTGTATGCCGCTCATACAAAGACTGCCTACGGTTGCCTATGGTTGCATATGACCACGCTATAGCTTAATGTTGCTCATAGCGGTGGGATTCAATTTGCTCGTAGCCACGTTGCGCATATAGCTTGTTTCTTTGACTGCTGTGTGACAGCTGTGTGACGAGTCTAGTTCTACAAGTAAAATAAATGGTGGTGGGCATTCGGTACTACTAGGCAACTAATCGCAGTGAACGCAAGCTAAAGCGAGCGGCAACCAGCGACTGCAAGCTAAAACGAATGGCTTACAACCTAGAGTCACAGCGTTGCAAGCGGCAATCGCAACGGTTCTTGCTGCTGCGAATGGTGTGCGCGCAACAGGGCAACAATATGGGCAATCACGCGAACAACAACAAACTTTAGTGAGGTAAATCGTGTAGGAAACGCAGGCAGCAACACGCCCTCCAAAAAAGGAGGTGCCGATATGATTGCGTATACCTGCGCTAAGCCACTTGCTGTTTCTCACATTCACTGGTTGCCACTCCTATTCCCCCGTAGACGATTTGACCTTGCGTTTGCTTGCGATAGTTTAGACAAGTTTGAAACTAGCGAGCGACCAACGCAGGCCTACATCTATGCGCTAGTCTGCATATTGAGTACGTAGTGAGCATGTTTCATTGCGCTTTATTGGGTATGACTGCCTATGTCTGCATTTGGGCAATACTCAATGGTGTGACTGAGGCATAAGAAAAGTAGATTGTGTAGAACTAGAAGCACATTGTGGAAAGAGAAAGCAAACTGTAGATATGTCCATCTAAAAAAAAATCATGGTAATTAATGTGTCTATCGAAATTCCCACCCACCTCCATTTCTGTTTCTTTCTTATCCTTCAAAATTGAGTTCTAAGGGCTTCATTCAAGTAGTATGTGATAAAATATCTTTTCATAATGAACTTAACAGTCAACAACAACTTCAGGCAAAATTGTTACTTAAATCATGTATTCAGATAAAAAAATATCTATTGGAATTAGGGGTTTCCCCCAATCCACCCCTCCCCCCCCCCCACTTCTTTTCTGCATCATTGTGAGTCTAAAAATGCAGTAGAATTATCAGTCATCACACAGACTGGTCCCTCTGTTAATAAAGTTTGAGAGTCCACAAAAGAATTCACTTGGGGAGAGAGAAAAATTGGTTATTTTACTTCCTTGTTTGTAAAAGAATGATTTCCTTTCTTTTTCTTTTTCTGTATCGTAACTTCCTCTTTTAAACACATCCTGATAAGTTTCGGTATGCATGTTTTGGTGAAATGGTGCAATTAGCTGGTAGCCTATACATGGTTGAAATAGACTCTCCATGAATCAAGACAATTTATTAAAAAAATGATCATTATTTGTGTCTTCATGGGTTTTTTTAATTCAAATTGGGATTTTTTTTTAAATTTTTAATCAATGATATACAAATAAACTATTCTTATATTTGAGATTGGCTATCCTGTATTAACTGTAAAGTTATGTACATGTACATATATCATTGAAGGGCAGAAGATAGCAACTTTGATTTTAAGGAATTAACATGCTGTTCAAAATTGAAATCTGATAATAAAAATAATAAAAACAAAAACAATCTTATTTGTAGTCTATATACGTGGAGTGCTTAATACAGCTACAATGCTTCTAAGCACTGTAACAGGTACTTCCCAGGTCATTGGATTCAGGGTTGCCTGTACACAAGGTATGCACTTTCTCTACTCCCTGGGGAGCATTCCAGGCAGCCGTCATTTTACGCTCAAACTGCTAAGCTATAGCAAACTGCACCCATATGACATAAGTTTATTTTGAGATAATCAAATTGGTTATAATTTATAGCCTATAGTGGTGGGTGTGGTGTGATCTTGATGGCCCAATGCACTTAATATTGCAAATTTGCATAATGAACGATATTTAAGAATAAGCTATTTTGTTTGAAAACATCCCCAAAACAAAACTATACCAAATGGACTTCCAAATTTTAAAAATATTGAAAAAAAGATGAAGTTCTATTAGTAATTAAAGTTATATAAAACGGTATTATTTATTAAAATTGTTTTCTTTTTTTATATTGCATGTCATGATCAAGCAAGAGGGATATTTGGGGAATTATAAAGTAGTGGAAGAAATATACATAATCATCTGAATGAAATCTGATAAAAGATGGAAAAGTTGTGCATTTTTAAAGTTTTAATCACTATAGTTTTAGGCTCTTCAAAGTGGCTGACTCAAGGATGTCTCTGTGATGTAGTGGTGGACAACTTTCCCATTTGTACCAAAAAACAAAATGACTAAAATTCTAAAAGTTATGAGAGCAGGGGCAGGAAGACTATTTCTTATTGCATATGAAAACGATTGCAAAAAAATCAGATTCTTGAAAGGACTCACCACGGTTCACAGGAGAATGAGGTTATATGAGGTTCAACTTCATACCAACTATTACTTTGTGATCAATTTAGGTGACACAGAAGCCCTCAAAATTCTTGGGACTAGAGATGTCACGTGTCATTTTATATGGTTGTGATTCGTGAACACTTATACAAAAACGACAAAAAGTCACAGTGGGCTTTGAATGTGTTTGCATTACTGATGGTCCTAGGTTTAAGCTATGACCAGAATATGCCAGTTTCTTAATGTATTCACAGACCTTTAAATCGCATTACGTAATCAGAGTGTTGGACAAACAAAGAACTTGCGGAGCATAGCAGCCTACACTGTGTGTGCATACAATACATGTGTTCGCTATATTTGAGGTGTACTCTGCTATTGTACCCTGTGATTGTAGCCTATTGTTTGCTTTCACTATTTTGAGAGAGAGAGAAGAAAAGGAGGCAGTTTCAACTTTCAAACTTGAATAATAAATATCTTTGAGATGTGATTTTTTTCTTCATACATTTGATCTTTAAAATCGCTGAGTTTTAGGGAAGAATAATGGGTAAGCATTGCTGTTTAACGGAACGTGCAATAGCGATTCACATCTTGCAGCCAAACCTATTCGGCCAAGTCTGCGGCACAGGCAGCACTGATACCCTCTCAAAAAAGAAGAAAAACAGAGGTCTATGATACATGCGACATTGGCTTAAAAGCCAGTGACGAAACAGAAGGTGAAGAACCAAAATATCAGTTTGCTGATATCCGTAATTTCCATTCAATTTTGCATTTAGCCTACCTTAAAGATACTGTAGAACTTTGCAGGAATTATAAATATGTTATGTATGTCCTATCTGTGAAATTTAATCGTTAGCAGTGTCCTAATATGCAAGGAAACCCGTTTACTTGCTAGACTTCACTGTCAGACACTATTGAGTGACTGACTGGCTTTTTTCATCTTTGGTAATAACATAAATAAAATGAGCTGTAAAGGGTACATGAGCATTTGTCTACATCAAAAACCCACTTCTTGTGATGGCCATAATTAAACTGATTGAATCTTTGCGCAGCATAAAACGTACGACCATTCGGTACAATGGTCTGAAAAATCAGACTATTACTTATTGGCTCTATAGCTCCTAAGTAAATTTGACAACTTATAGTCGTTATTTTCTCACTTAAAGACTTAAAGACATTTTCAAGCTATCCTTAAAACGGCACACATTCTTCCTTTACTGAAGAAACCCAATCTTGATTCTGAATAATTACCGTCCAGTTTCTAATCTCCCGTTTTTGTTTAAAATACTTGAGAGGGTGGTGTTCTCTAGATTAAATGATTATTGTCTCGATAATGACCTCCTTGATCCATTTCAATCTGCATAACGTCCCCACCACAGTGTAAAAACCCTCCTTGTTAATGTATCCAACTTTATACTCCAGGAGATGGATGGCGGAAAAGTAACTGCTATGGTACTCCTTGATTTGTCTTCCGCCTTTGACACTGTTAACCACACTGTACTGGTGAATACCCTCATGTCACTCGGTATTAAAGGTCAAGCCCTGGAATGGTTTAAATCATACCTGTCATGCCATTCTCAAGCTGTCTTGATAAACGGCTGCCTTTCAGATTTTGTACCACTTACATGCGGAGTTCCGCAAGGCTCTGTGGGCGGGCCCACGCTGTTTTCATTATATTTAACGGGTTTGAAGAATATTTTTCATCACCATTCTCTCTCTTATCATGTTTATGCTGATGATATTCAAATATATACTTCTTTCAAACCCAATCAGAGCAATGCAGCCAGCGCTATCCATAACATTGAGACTTGTGTACAAGATGTTCATAATTGGTTAAACTCACATTCACTTAAATTAAATCTCGCCAAATGCGAATTTATAATGTATGGTTCCAAGACTCAGTTAGAGAAGATTTCCATCACTTCAATTACTCTTGCTGGACATGAAATTACCCTAGATCTAATATATGTCGCAACCTTGGTGTGTTTCTTGACTCAAACATGACAATGTCTACACAAATTCAATATGTCTCAAAATCAGTACGTTATCAGTTACGCAATTTGGGTTTTATTCGTAAATGTCTTAACCGTAGTGCCACTGAGAAAATAACTCATGCTTTAATTTCTTCTCGCTTGGATTTTGGTAATGGCCTTTTGTTTAGTTCGCCTCACAACCTACTCACAAAATTACAAAGATTACAGAATGCAGCTGCTCGTGTCGTCACCCTGTCCGCCAACAAGTACAGTCACATCACACCAGTCCTCAAATCACTCCATTGGTTGCCCGTAGAAAAACGTGTTATTTTCAAGATTATTTTGCTATTATTTCACTGTATACATGGCTCTGCTCCGCAGTATAACATCGGCTTGATTAAGCATTACTTTCCTTCTAGACAGCTACGTTCTCAAAACTCTAGCTTACTTGTTACTCCTAGGGTTAAAACAAAGTGGGGGGAGCGAACCTTCGCTCATGCTGGGCCTTCATTATGGAATACTCTCCCTCAATGGATTAAGAATAGCAGTTCTGCTGAAGTGTTAAACAAGGGAAACGCTCTCGGCGGTCTCGCCTGCATAATGCAATTCAATATGATAAACCAGAACTTCAATGACGTAGCGCTTTTGAACTTTTGAACTGGTCAACAACAACAAATTTGATGCCCTGGAGGGACATAATTTCATTTCATTTGCATAAAGTACCATAAATAATCAATGGAGCAAAATCTCAAAATTTTGTGTAGAAGTTTAGTGTTCCAAATTTAGCTCTACCAGATAAGGCAAACCAAATCAAAATCGGTCAAGAAATGAGGGAGAAGAAGCAATTTTTGTTATTTTTGGAATAAATTTGCATAAATTACCATAATTAATTAATGGAGAACAATCAGAATCAAAATCGGTTGAAAAATAACGAAGAAGAAGCATTTTAAAAATCTTGATGTTGATGCCACAACAAAGTCTAAGTCTGTTGACCTGAAATGACCTTTGACCTTGACTTTGTGATCTGAAATTCTACTCACATGATTGGGGATACTTGGTTACTCTATAGTCAAAGTTTCATTGACTAAGAACCTATACTTTAAAAATTCAAAAACTTAACCTTAGGTTAAGTTTTTCATGTTGACGCCGCCGCTGTCACCGGAAAAGCGGCGCCTACATGTGTGTCTCGCTTTTTGCTACGCAGGCGAGACAAAAACAATCTTAAGAAATATCTGTTTAATTTAGCTTATAATTGATTACCATAACCTTTCATGTCTGTACCTTTCCTATCGCACTTTGTATAAATGTATCATGTATGTATTTCATCTCTTGCACAAGCTGCGCCTTGAGCATTTGACTGCCAAGTGGATTTGGCGCCTTATAAATCATATGTATTATCATTATTATTATTATTAAGCCCCCCCCCCCCCTTTTTTTAGGGAAGTTCTAAATTAGTATTGTCTTTCAAATGCCATTGGAATTTAACCTTTTCATTTTTTTGGCCTGCAAAAGGGACATAGTACCTTTAATATAGGTATGTTTTGGAGTGTTTAATGTGTTTAGTTTTTAATATGTAATTGAATAAATTTTGTATTTTTGTAATCCTTTACTATGTTTCCTATGTATGCGCCTTGAGCATCGCTAGAGATGAATATGTTGCGCTTTATAAATATTTTTATTATTATTATTTAGATCTAGCAATTTTCATAATTTGATGACGAGCGCACAAATCGTTACGCCCGGGTATTGTTGATGTTTGATATTATCGGCGTTTCATTCTTTTTTAGAATATTTACGCCTTTCACTTTTTAAAAAAAAATTTATTGTTTTTACTATTTGTAAATTTGTACTTTTCTCTTTTTTTTTGATAATATAATCTCAGATCTACTGGTCCATGAAAACACCTCACGCAATTGGCACCTTCCTGCCAGACCCGTGCGGTACATTGCGCAATCTTCTCGGCCATCATTGGCCTAGGCAACTCTGGTGCCTCACTACTTTTAAGGATGCTGAAAAATTGTAACAAATAGAGGGCTTCACTGAAATATCATGATTTTGGTATCGGACCAAACAGAAAATTGCAAGCTTTCTCCTTGCACCAATATCCTATGAGTCAATGGCAGCCAGCGATAGCCAATAAGAAGGGCCCTTGTAGGTGCCAATTTAAGAAAATGAAGCTGCAATTCGACGAGATCGGATGAACGTCAGCGAATTGCAGCCTCATTTTCCTTAATTGGCATCTAAAAGGGCCCTTCTTATTGGCTATTGCTGACTACCCTATAAGATAATGTTTTACATTTACATTATTCTTGTTTAAATCAGTAGAGTCTAGATCTAGATCTAGACCCTAAGTTGAAAAAAAGTTGTATTTTAATGCAATTTAGGTGTCATCAATTGTCATTAAGTACTGATTTTTAGTGAAATCAGTTGAGTTTCGTACAGTAGTGTTTGAAATGTTGAGAATCAATAGCACAGCTTTTAATACACATGCAGCCAGGATAGTAATGCATCATCATTATTTTTTATGATTTTTATGATTTTTATCATTTTACATGTAACAGTTGAAAAAAATTGTATTTTAATGCAATTTTTAGGTGTCATCAATTGTCACTAAAGTACTGATTTTTAGTGAAATCAGTTGAGTTTCGTACAGTAGTGTTTGAAATGTTGAGAATCAATAGCACAGCTTTTAATACACAGCCAGGATAGTAATGCATCATCATTATTTTTTATGATTTTTATGATTTTTATCATTTTACTTGCACCATAAACATGTATATATTTCGGCACAAATTTACACAAGCCGTTCACCGTCGGCAAAAGATCACCCTTGTCTAGATGCTGAACAGGCTTTGACAAGTAGTAGAATAGAAGTAGAATAGAAGTAGAATGCAGCTAGACCCTAACTTACTTAGATCTATGTATGTGTGGTTCCACTGGAATTGAAAATGTCTTTCTTGTAATTAGGAGTGACTGTTAGGTCTTTGCCGTATACTCACCACGATCCGTCAGTAGAATAGTCCTCGCGGACAGTTCCCCACTGACGTTCTGATAGATAGGGGCCCCATCTTTTCCAATTACCATCCTTTACTCTCTCCTCTGCTTCGTTAAGACGAAGGTGTTCTGACATCTTGCTCCAACACACTGCACTGGAGCTTGTGATGTGATTCTTGGTATACGTATCATCAAGGTACTAGGCTAGCTAGCTAGCTAGCTTTAATCACGTATATGACGTCACGAACGTCATCGCATTTACTGGACCGCGCCCGCGCCACGCCTACTCTATATGGAGGGGTGCTATAGTGCAAGTTTAAATGTAATCATGCTAGGAGATATATGGAGTTAATTTGTACATTTTGAAGGCTTAAAAGAGGGGGTGCTAGCTAGGCTGGATGGAGGGGTACTAGAGGCGGGGTACTAGAGGCTGGATATAGTATTCTAGGGGGGGGGGGCTTGGTGAGAAAAAAAGGGGGGAAAGGGGAAAAGGGGGAAAAGGGGGAAAGAAGAAGGAAAAAAAAGGGAAAGAAGAAGGGGAAAAAAAAAGCAATTTTTGGAAAATCCTGAAGCCGCCACTGGGTCGCCCCCCCCCCCCCCTGGCAAAAAGCTAGATCCGCCCCTGCTACTATAGGACTAGCTAGGAAATAGATGGCAAAATTCATGTACATTTCTAAGGTTCAAAGGATGGGGTGCTAGGCTGGATGTAGTTAGAGGAGCTGATCGTTTGATTATCTTCGACCGATTTCTTTTTTGTCAATTCTGTTAATTTGACATATTATCAATATAATCATGTATATCATTAATTCTATAAATTCATATTATGAAGTCATTCACGGTTCCATATAATCTTTTGGTTATATAGACTTGTGCAATGCTGGAGCGAGAACACTGACTGAATTCAAGAAAATGAAACATATTACGAAATTGATCAGTATTATATATAACAGTGCGTCCCGGAAAAAAATTGAAACCAAGAATTATCGATGTTTTATCATAACTTTATCACAATTATAAGTAATAAATGACACATATTTGTAAAGCTTAGATCCTCCTCTTTCATTTGATGCAAGTCATATGATGCAAATTTCACGCATGAGTGATTTAAAACAATTTGAAGAGAGGGTACCAAAAAGTTATTTGGCAGGCGGTATCTGAATTTCAAAAAGAAAATCACTTTTCTAGAAAATTCATTTCCTGCCCGTTCATATGACAATCAATAAGGAAAAATGAGCAAGGAATGACACACTTCTGTTTTTTTAAAGTAATGCTTGCATTTCCATAATTTTATTAAACAAATTCGTTTACACTGGCTGCCTGCCGTAGCAACAAACAGAGTTAAAAAAGACTTAACTCCGTTTTGTTGATGACCATGCATCAAGTCTTTCGTCTTTTTTGTGCCAGGCTATTGCATTCCCCAATCAAATATGATTTGTAATATGACTTAATGCAACTTTGATATTTGTTAAACTTTGATTGTTTCTTTTTATGTATGTATTTATCATTGTTTTGAGTTTAAATCTTTTTTTGTATTACTGAATCAGTTGTTATTGTTGTGGGTTTTTTGTCATAACATAATAATTCGTAATAATTACTTTTACAGGGGGCCCACACACTTTACATGCAAGCTCTGCTTGTTAGTCGGCCCTCCTTCCCTTTCAATTTCATGTTTTTGTTAATGTATCGTATTGTGCAAATTGATCTATGTATATCAGATGTACAGTACCATCATTGTAAATATGAAAAACTGAAAGAGGAAAAAATGAATTGAATTGAAATGAATTGAACTGAATTGAATTTAAAATCTCTAGGTAACTGTCTGAAAGTGACAGAGTGGTCTTGAAGAGGGGTAGATGGATATCAACGGGTTAATTGCCGTCTCATATTAATTTTAGAGGGGGGGGGGGAGCTCGGATCACGAGGAGTATTTTCCTCGTTGTGTAAATCCCCTCCTATAGGAAATTTGATTATCTAAACACGCAAGGGGGACTTGCACCACAAAAAGTATAAAGACAGTTTTATAGTGTTTTTCTTATAATTGGCTTGAATAAATAAAGCAATTATATCATTTTTTTTAATGTATTGAAAGTAGTATTTCGTATTTAATCACCGTTAAAAGTGGCTAAAAAGAATCTTTATAGTATTCATTCATTCAGCCTAATCAATGCTTGACTAAATAAATGTGAATTATAATTTGTTCTATTCAGTAGGCCTACTAGATTAATTGGCTTGACTAAATAAAGTAATAATACATTAAACACACGCTTTGGTGGATACAATTTTGGAAGGTAGGAATTTTTTTTCAGAGTAAAAAGTGTCGATGATCAGATTCCAAGTATAAAGTTTTCTGTAAAGAATCGATTCCGAAGTTCGGAAATAATTTTTGATGGCTGATGTGATCGTTGCTAAACGTAGATTATAAAATCCTATCTAAGATACTTTCTAAGACAATACAAGAAGTTTTACCTGAAATTTTGGTTTTGATCAGTTGGGATATGTTAAGGATAGGAACATTGGAGAAGCAATACAAATAATAGATGACATGATCTTTCATACTTCTTTTTACAGAGAACACGCTTTTTTGATAGCCATTGATTTTGAAAAAGCATTTGATTCTGTTTCACATTTATTTTTATATAGGGTATTAACTTATATACTAATGCAGAAAGTTGTGTTATAAATGGATACACATCAACAGGTTATATTAAGGTTGAAAGAGGAGTGAGGCAGGGAGATCCCCTCTCTCAATATTTGTTTGTTTTGTGTATTGAAATTTTAGCTCATTATGTTAAGAAATAATCATTAGATAAAAGGAATCAGTTTTGGAAATACAGTAATAAAGCAAGTTCTGTACGCAGACGATATAACACTTTTCATTAAAGATTTGAAATCTATTTTTGACTGTTTTTATAAAATATCAGGATAAAGGTTAACAGAGACAAGACATTTATTTTACCCTTAGGTTCACAATTATCCACTCATACGTTTCTGTTTGGGAAGTGAGCCAACATTGTTGAAATATTAGGAATATGTTTTTTAATACACAAAGATATCAAAGAAAAAATGAATTACAAAGAAATATTGAGCACAAAAACAAAAAAACATTTTTATGTGGTGGAAGCAGCATCAGGGCTTAAATTAATCCAAGGCCATCAAGGCCATGGCCGTGGATGCCCCTTTGAGTGGCCTCAATGCCCCTCTCATTGGCCTTGGAGATTTGTTGTGCCCTTTCCAATTCTTCCTATTTGTGCTGTAATTATAGGAATGTGCCCTACAGAAAAGTGGCCTTGCCCTAAAAATATTGAAATTGAAGGCCTGCAGCGTGATTTAACATTAATGGGGAAAGTTCAATTAATGAAAGTATGTGGCTATTCCAAATTGATATATTTATCATCATTGATGCCAGTTCCAGAATGGGTATATATATATATTGAAGAAATATGTTTTTATTTTTTGGTGTAGAAGCAAAGGCAAAATTAAAAAGAGCATCATTCTAGACTATCCGCAGGGTGGCCAAAAAAATTGAATTTCTGACTGCTAAAATTCATGTTTGATTGTTATCCATAAACAGAGAACAATGTGGATAAAAAGGCTCGTTACAGGAAAACAATGTATCAAATGGAAAAATTATTTTTAATTTTTGATGAGACTGATGGGACGAAATCTATATTTTATTGTAATTACTGGGATGATACTGTTTGTGAAAACGTGCTACCGTGTACAAATTAAACATTATCTCAAATAAATAAATGAATGAAATAGCAAATCAATCAATCAATCATTCAATCAATCAATCAATCAGTCTATCAATCAACCATCCATTAATAGAATAAAGTAACCTTTATGAATATTAATATGCAGAAAAGATCATTGTTTATTCTATCTATACACACTCAAAGAACAAACTAGATGGATCTTCAACTGCGCGCAGCCGAAAGGGATGTCTCCGCCAAAGTGATTTACGGTAACAAACCAAAGCAGAAGCAATTTTTAAAATTCATGTTTGATTGTAATCCATTAACAGGTTCTCAGAATATCGTGACTACCAACTATTTTTCATATACATGTATAACCCTTTCATCTTTGATTTCATGACAGTAAAATCTAATCAGTTCAAGTTTGGTGGTAATCCATCAATTGGTTCTTGAGATAACGTATCACAAGCTATTTTTACATACATAATGAGCCCTGTGACCTTTGACCTCATGACCTCCAAATGTAAACAGTTTATTGGCTCTGCAAAATACATATATGACCCAAGTTTGGGGGGAATCCATCGATCAGTTCTTGAGATAATGCGATCATGAAAACAAGACATACGGACGTACAGACCGACAACCCGAAAAAACATAATGCCACCAGCTTTTTTGTAGGGGAGGCATAAAAAATGCATTATTTACAGAAGTAATTCATGTACATGTACATTCTCTAATTATATACATCATGTGAACACAGTATTGTCTATTCCCTACATGAAACAGAGTCTTTTTATATATATATATATATATATATATATATCATCTATTAAAAGAGACCGAGTAGGGTCATCTACATTAAAAGATAAATGTTATGCCCTTCTGATACTCTGAAGATAATGTCATCTATTTAGAGCAAGAAGGGCATTATATTATAGATATATTGACTGCTATTAGAGGCATAGCTATTTCTATAGGCTCTTGGGATCCTGCTATGACCCGAAGTCCGAGGAGCCATAGCAGGATGTAACTTCCCCGAGAGTCAGTACAGAAACAGCTCTGCCTCGAATATTAAAGGTAATACAAAGTTTTGGTATGGGGGTAATGAATTTGGTTCAAATGAACATATTGGAAGCATATGCGATTTTACAATAATCAATAATTGTTGTCACAGTTAAAATCGAGTCTAAAGTGATGAAATTGTAAATAATAAACTCTTAATGTTGTATAGCTCCTTCTCAAGACTGATCTTACTTTAGCTTTAAAACAATGTTTCTTTACTACAATCAAGCGATTTGCTATCCCATTTGGAAATTATATCAGAACTGCATATTCTGAGATTTTCATGGTCGCAGCTACCATGGAATGGCCTTAGGCGCTATTTACAATATATGAAATTTACCTGGAGCACCAGTAAATTTTTGATCATTCAATTTCTCGAAAGCAGAAGTGTTTAGGGGCTAAATTTTCTAGTGCTTATAATACACCCACAGGGGCACCCAAATATATCAACATTTTAAAGAATCACTATATATCCAATTTTCAAAATTTCCCAAAACTTTGAATTACCTTTAAAGTAGTCCATATATCTTTTATATACCAAATTCACAAAAAAATATCCAAAGAATTCTTGCCTTATCCTTTTCTTGAGTAAAGATTGGTTAAAACATCACATAAAATCTGAGACACTGTCTGTTAATCTTAGTTTAAAAGTTGCCTGAATATTACGATCATTCGGGAATCGCACACACTTTATGATATCCGCGCTCGCACGTTGCACAAAGAAACTTTTTACACGTAAACCAATGAGGATCTCAGCAAAATTTAACCATGCGGCCCGTTACCAAGGCAACAGTCATCTTTCTCATGAACTATTGACCATTATCCAGACAACGGTCAATCTTTGCAGGCGTGGCCAGAATCACTACCCCTAATTTCGACCAAACATATGACTAGATTTATTCAACATACTAAAGATAGGTATATAACATGATGTAATACAGAGTTAAAACCCTACTGGCTCTCAACAGATGATATTCTTCTATGCAGTGAAATTTAAATTTTGTTTCAAAGCATATCAGAATAATGGAGAAAAATGTAAAAAGTTGTTATTTTATCATGTGTAGTGCCCCCCCCCCCCCCCACCAAAAAAAAAGCGCTAACAATTATAAAAGTTAGAATCCAGGATTATAAACTGTAACTTACTGTCATGTCTGACTTTCATAAGGATAGGCAGTACTCTAAAAAATATTAAACACTCTTACTTGGGCTGTTCAGGAATCCAGAAAATGACAAATCATTATCATTAACAAAATGATAACAAATTGACTCACTAATACCAGGGTCTGGAGACTAAAGCTCAGCAGTTGATTGTACAATCACTTAATCAATTGTATGATCGATACATGTATCTCTTGCTATTGATTGCACAGCATGATCACATACAAGATAGCAAGACGTCAATCAATAGCTAACTTCTCTTTGTGTTACAGGTCCAGAACTCAACTTTCTCTTTCAGCCTTCTTGCTATCTTGTAATTGATTGCACAGCATGATCAATTACAAGATAGCAAGCCGTCAATCAACCCCTAACTTCTCTTTGTGTTATGGGTCCAGAACTCAACTTTCTCTTTCAGCTCTGCTGATGGCTAAGCAAATGATATGATAGTGATAGGTACTCTATAATCTATACTCTAGCTCAAGGTGATTATCTTTTTTGTAATATTTATATGAAGAACATTTTCACTGAATGATGCTGAGTTCCTCCTGGTCTTGCCTCTTGCTGATTGCACCAAGAACCTTACTTAGAAACAAGTTGAAGTCTGCCCTCACTTGGTCTGATTCCTCTTCCAGATTTGTCTGCACATGATTGACCCTTGTCATCTGCGATGCTGAAGGAAAGACAAAATTGATATATTTCAAATACGATAATAAAACTTGGTTAATATGTAAAAATCCAAATAATAAGAATTAGTAGAAGGTATTGCCATGAACTGGTTGGAATGTTTTCAATAAGGTTGAGAAGATGATCACCCTTATTGTATTTAACACTTCCTCTAACTCAACAAATAAATAATGAACTTGACACCAGACCTATTCATATGGGCATCTGACATATACCCTGCTAGAAAGCACTATCGGGTAAGGCTTTAGGGCACTATAAAAACAAAAGTGTAGCGCAGCTTTTTTTAATGAGGGTGCCACAAGAGAAATTTAGTTATATCAACAATTTCAGTTTGGAATAACATAAATTTTGAGAAAACAGAATTTTAGTAACCACTATATGTATTTCAATGAGGAGATAGCATTTTGAAAATGAAAATTGTGTCTTTCTTCCTCAAGCACTTCGCTTGTTCATAACATTTAATTCAGGCAGCTAATGCCTGAATAACTTTATATTTGAAGGTACCCAAATATTCCATTATTCAACATTGAGGTGCCAAAATATTGTTGTATTCGTGCTGCATTTCAGCTGCCCGAATACATCTTACATTTTTCATATCAAAATTACAATACCACCCTCGTTCCTTTTACTCCCTCGCAAAATTTAGAAACCTGATACTAGTAAGTATGGGTAGCGAGATGCACAAACATCCTTGTATTCGTGAATCAAGGTGATTGGATATATGAATTTTGTATTCATATATTTGGCAGCAAGTTGCCCGCATACACAATTTATATCTTACATGTATCTAGTGCGTTTTTTTTTTCAGCAGATGTTTCTACATTTATTGATAAATCAAATATAAAACATTCAAATAACAATAATAGTATACAATATAATCGATTTAAATAAAGAGTGACAACTTAATACACACAAATAAAAATGCATAATTGAAAGCTATGGGGGTAAGTAAAAATAATCAAGATAAATGCAGAGGCCAACTATCATAAGCAAAGATGCTTGAGTCGATAGCAGCCGGGAAGGGGGGGGGGGGTACATGGTGCTGTTATAGGAGTATGTAGGTGAATAGAGAGTCACGTATAAAGATTTTGGTCAGAAAGTATCTGAATAAAAAGTGGAAAGAAATTAAAGAAAGAAAAAAAACTAGATGGAATTTTGACTGCGCGCAGTCGAAAATGATGCCTCCGCCATAGAGCAATTTAAACAAGTTTGGAGTTTAAATCTCCAGTGGTTCTTGAGATATCATGATAACAATCTCAATGTATGGAATTTCATAAGATGACCTCTGTGACCCTTGACCTTTGACCTACGTGCTCCAAAATCTAATCAGATTGTCTTCCTATGGTGATACACACTATCATTAAGTTTGAAGTTTAAATCTCCAGTGGTTCTTGAGATATTATGATATGGTGATACATACTATCATTAAGTTTGAAGTGAAAATTCTCCAGTGGTTCTTGAGATATCGCGATAACGATCTCAATGTATGGAATTTCATAAGTTGACCTCTGTGACCCTTGACGTTTGACCTACGTGCTCCAAAATCTAATCAGATTGTCTTCCTATGATGATACACACTATCATTAAGTTTGAAGTTTAAATCTCCAGTGGTTCTAGAGATATTATGATAACAATCTCAATGTATGGAATTTCATAAGTTGACCTCTGTGACCCTTGACCTTTGACCTACGTGCTCCAAAATCTAATCAGATCGTCTTCCTATGGTGATACATACTATCCTTAAGTTTGAAGTTTTTACATCTCCAGTGGTTCTTGAGATATCATGATAACAATCTCAATGTATGGAATTTCATAAGTTGACCTCTATGACCCTTGACCTTTGACCTACGTGCTCCAAAATGTAATCAGATTGTTTTCCTATAGTGATACACACTATCACTAAGTTTGAAGTTTAAATCTCCAGTGGTTCTTGAGATATCATGATAACAATCTCAATGTATGGAATTTCATAAGTTGACCTCTGTGACCCTTGACCTTTGACCTACGTGCTCCAAAATCTAATCAGATTGTCTTCCTATGGTGATACACACTATCATTAAGTTTGAAGTTTAAATCTCCAGTGGTTCTTGAGATATTATGATAACAATCTCAATGTATGGAATTTCATAAGTTGACCTCTATGACCCTTGACCTTTGACCTACGTGCTCCAAAATCTAATCAGATCGTCTTCCTATGGTGATACATACTATCCTTAAGTTTGAAGTTTTTACATCTCCAGTGGTTCTTGAGATATCATGATAACAATCTCAATGTATGGAATTTCATAAGTTGACCTCTATGACCCTTGACCTTTGACCTACGTGCTCCAAAATGTAATCAGATTGTTTTCCTATAGTGATACACACTATCACTAAGTTTGAAGTTTAAATCTCCAGTGGTTCTTGAGATATCATGATAACAATCTCAATGTATGGAATTTCATAAGTTGACCTCTGTGACCCTTGACCTTTGACATACGTGCTCCAAAATCTAATCAGATCGTCTTCCTATGGTGATACATACTATCCTTAAGTTTGAAGTTTAAATCTCAAATGGTTCTTGAGATATCGCGCTAACAAACTCAATACAAGGAATTTCATAAGTTGACCTCTGTGACCTGTGACCTTTGACCTACGTACTCCAAAATCTAATCAGATCGTCTTCCTATGGTGATAAATACTATTCCTGAGTCTTAAGTTTAAATCTTAAATGGTTCTTGAGATATTGTGATAACGGTCAAACGGGACGGACGTACGGACGTACGGACGGACAACCCGAAAACATGATGCCTCCGGCACCACCTTCGGTGGCGGAGGCATAAAAATGTTTACATTTCTACCTTGTGAAATATTTCCTCTTTTCTGCTTGCTCCCAGAATTTAAAAACAAATGTGCCCACATACATCCAACAAGAAAGTGGGACAATGGTGAGTTGTATATGGGAATACGATCACCTCATCACAATTGTGAGAAGAAGACTGTTGCAGTAGTTTGGGCATGTAAGAAGACTTAAGAATAGCTTGGCAAACATCATCTTGCAAGGAGGAACTAATAGGAGAAGGAAGAGGGCGGACCAACTAAGACATGGACTGATAACATCAAGCAGGGAACCAGAGAGTCATTTAGAGTAGTTTTAACCAGCTGAAGACAGAAACAATGTCTCAAGGTCCATTTCATTGTCACCCTAATGGCCTCCAAGCTATGGGACATATATATCAACATGCAATGACTTACGTATTTGTACCCTAACAGCTTGTGATGTATTTGGCCTATGATGTCCAAAGATGATGCATTGTGAATCTTTCAATCCTTGTTGAGTTATGAAATGGTTGTACCTTGAAGTAAAATAAGGTTAAAAACAAACTTGATTTAGAATAGAAATTTACGTGTAATTACCTGAAAGACATACCAGTATAGGATTCCATTTTGAATTTGGATCAATAAAAAAATAGTAATCCAGAGTCTAAAGCCTGGCTCACACTACACAATCTGACTACAATCCAATTTTTGAAGAATTTGTAATAGCATTTATATGAACATATACACATGTAAAATCTTGCTGCTTATAAGTATCAGCTTGAATGGTGATGTAGATATACAGTAGGCTTGTGGTTGCACCATGTGAAAGAGGGGGAGGATTGGGGAGACCTGATTGGAGAGACTCCTGAGGAGGGATAGTCAACCTGTTTGAAACGTCAAGCAACTCCTATTGCCCATCCTCTCCAACCGGCGCTATAGTTCTCCTGAGAACTATAAGTTAAGAGAGACTAAGAAACACTCGAGAAAGAAAGATTACTGCGAGTTCTTTCCAGGTCTCCCCAATTCTCCCTCCTCTCTCACATGGTGCAACCGCAAACCTACAGTACATGTAAAATCTTAATGTCCAAGGATCTGAATAGCGGTATATGAGTAATAAAATCTAAATTTCAAGGGATTTCATGCTCCTTGGAGAGGGAAAAGCTAAGTCTGCTCAGAATCAGACTAGTAGTGTGATTGTCTACAATGTGAAGCTGATTCCGCTTTTATTCTGACTAGAAGAGTTAAATGCACTAAAATTCTGTTTCTTCATACTCTTGTTACTATTTAGGACCTAAATCGGGAAGATAGTGGTTATTTAGATTTCCATTTAAATGCACTAAAATTCTGTTTCTTCATACTCTTGTCACTATTTAGGACCTAAATCGGGAAGATAGTGGTTATTTAGATTTCCATATCTAATATAACTGCCCTATCTATGAAAATCGGATTGCAGGAAAATCATGTAATGTGCGCTGGTCTTAAGAATGCAGTTTGTTAAGGTTTTTTTTTACAGAATCACAAGAAAGACATCATGCTTATTTTGTGCAAAAGGAAATAAAGCATATTCAAAATGCCCCATCCATTGAATCATTCAAAAACCCTTCTTAAAACCAACCTTTTTAATCAGTTATAGTATACTGGAGGTGCACGTGAGTAGTTTATTTCATTCAACTGAATTGTATTGTATTAGCTATATTTTATTTTATTTTGTTGCTTTTAAGCTATTGAACATGTTGAATAATTATACTGAATTAGACAGTACCACCTGTGCGCTTTTAATAGAAACACCCGTATTAAGTGCCCTATAAATGTAATTATTATCATTAATTATTATTAATATCATCATATCATGCTATCTCACAAACCAAATCTTTCTGTCAGAATCATAAACTTTAAAGTAAAAAATATTAGTACACACTGCCTGCTCATATCTATATGTAAAGAAAATTTGACTTAGAGTCTGTTTCAAATTCAAGTATTTTATCTGACAGTTGAATTACATGGGCCATGGAATACGGTATACATGTAAACATAACTTTGTAGATAAAAGTTGATTTTGCAGAATTTTACTAGATCAAGACCCACTCAATATAAATTAAATTATATATGTACATCATGCTCACTGAAGTACAGTTTATTATATTTGCATTTACATGTATACACATCACCGTGTAATGAACAATCTCCTGGTATACAAAAACAATCCACTCCATGAAAGTGGTGTCATCACAGCTAATGTCATGACATGGGACCTTTTGCATAAAGAGTCGCATTTAAATGCATGAAAAACCCACTTCTATGAGCCTAATTGTTATGCAGGAGGCCCATGTGCTATGTCCAAATACTCACCATGTATCTAGTTCCCTCTCATGACTTGCTTGGTCTGGATTGTAAACTATGATGACCCCCGACACATCTTTCATGAAAGCAGGCCAACATTCATCAAACCTAAAAAAAAAGGAACAATTCATTCATATCTTGTTCTAGTGGATATCTCACTACTTTCAATGTTCAAGTCCTGCCACTGTACTAATTTTCTTTTGGTAAGATATCAATTTTCATTTGCCACACTCGAACCAGGTGAGGTCAATTGGTACCTGGCAGAAATGACTGCCTTGAAATGCTAGATCGTCGTAATGGTAGCCATGTTGATCCCCAAATGCTTCTCTTTCCCTCTCTCTCTCTCTAATACCCCTTTTTAACTGTCCTGATTTTAATCGGATGCACCCGGACGCATCCGATGAAACGGCCAGTATGAATGCTACATACACTGTAGGAGAAAAAGGCGATTAAATAGTCGATGAAAAGAAGAGAAATAGGCGATTAAATTCGCCTGCTCAAGAGCAGGAAAAATTCTCATTCTATCGGTGTAAACACCGATGAAACAGCCACTGTGAAAGCGTTCGGAAGAAATCAGCGATTAAAATGGTTAAAGGTCACAGTGTATGCGCGCTTTGTCGTAACCAGCTGTGTTTGTTGTCTTATGGTTCAACATGCTGCATTCAAGCTAGATGGAGCGCGGGCTTAACAATTACGCAATAATTCTTCACTTTAGGCAAGGGCTCGCCACAGCGAGTGAATTTCACCGGCAGTATAAAAGTGACAGGGGGAAAACGGCGGTTTCACCTTTGTTTACATAAGGAAAATTCAATCAGTATTTTCATCGGTGTGACTACGATAGAAGCCAGTTTGAAAGCAGTATAAGATAAGTGTAATTTGACCTATATTTTTGAGATATAATTTACATTCACTTACTTTTGATCTCCACTGCAATCCCACAGCTCTACTTCAGCTATCATTGATCGATTCGCCAGGTTCAGTGATCCACTTTCAAACTCAAGAATTCTGACATTTAAAAAAAAAGAAAAGACAAATGTGACTACATCTTCTAGATGCCCCCACACCTAAATTCAGTATAGAAAATGGATGGAATTATTTGTGCCCTATCAGTGAAAACAAAAAGCCTGCGAAATTATGTAATATTGTTATTCAAATATCAATTTTTTCTTGTTTCAGATGAATGATGTCATTACAATTAACAATAGCAATTGTTAAATACACTCTGTACTATATTTTTTAGACAAATAACTTTCTTATTCTCATGCATATTAATAGATATTTGGTTTTAAACAAACCAGTATAATAACACGTTTGCAATATACACTTTTATCCAATTTACTCTCAGACTGCTTTAAACTGTAAACATATTTTAATCCGTTGTTTCATTAGGTCATTAGTGTTCCCTTCTTTTATATATTCTTTTTAATACAAATTCATGCCCTTGCCAATTATTTGACTTGGGTCTTTTTCTCCAAAGTAATGTGCAATATCTAATTCGAAATTACACTATATTGTTATGTAAATACTCATTTTTATTTTATTTGAACAACTTTCTCGATCTAGATGAATGCTGTCATTACATTTATATTAAAGGGGAAAACGGAATAGAGACTGTCATTTTGACTTTTACGGTTTAATTTCATCCCATCCAATAGGTTTTTTTTTTAATGCTTAATTTCATTTTTTGTAATAGAAATGTTTGTTTAGCAATTGTTAAATACTTTCTCAACTCTTTCGGTCAAACAACTTCCGTTTTTCTTCTCCATTCTCTCCTTCCCACCGTCTTGGTTCTTCAACATGAAAGTATATTATTACATTACTGTATAACTTTGTTTTGCGATTTCAATTTCATCTTACAATGACTTACAATATGTATTTTAGTTTTGTATATGTTTATATCTCTCTATATTTTTAACTTGTTTGTAAATTGAACATTTTCAGCCTGCGAGCTGCTTGTTTGATGTGATTTCTCAATAAACCAAAAAACCAAAACCAAACCAATAATCAAATGTCAACTGACGACTACATGTATGATCTTGACCTACTAACCCCGCTTACAGTTTAAGTACTTACACATGTAACATCTATACATAAATCCTTGGATCGGCTGCCTAGCAGAGCTGGGGTAATAGTTGGAGCGCCTTGAGCACCATGCATATAAATATCCAATATTATTACTTGGAAATCTCCAATATTATTACTTATATTATATTGACTGGGCTTGAGGGGTATATCAGATATATTGACCAAGCTAAGATCATATTGCCCCGAGTCGAAGACGAGGGCAATATGGTCTTAGCGCGGTCAATATTTCTGATGTACCCCGAAAGAAGCCCTGTCAATATAATTATTATTACCTTAACAAGGCATTTTTAAGTAAATTATTGATAGAGGCCTATACAACTTTGGTATCAATCTTGATTTTTACTCCTGTCTGTTTGCCGGTCCATCTGATTTCAGGTTATTCAGGCAGGTATGTAATTGCGACGTAACAATGATTGTTACTGTGTGTAATTGTGACGTAACAATGATTGTAACCGCGCGTACACTTTAAGGCCTACACAATACTGCGCGTAAAGCGCACTGACAAGACAGTGGAATATGGCTCAATATTGCCCTCTAATTTAGTACAGTGGTCTACGGGGCAAACCCGGAAGAGGGCAATATGGCAAATATTCACCGCTCCGGTTGCATTTTCGGAGCAGCGTGCAAAATAAGACTTTTTATTTAGCAGCTAAAATGCCTTGTATAGGTAATAATTGGAGATATTGCCTGCTTTTTCATTAAAACAGTGGGATAGTCTCAGCTAAGTAAATGAATCACAAATGACCGCATTTGACCAATCATTTGACTTGGATCTTGGAGTGAATGGTATGAAATATACTTCTCTTTAGAAATACGGTAGCCATCTGATTGGTCGAATTTGGAGTCGTGATTTTAGCCATTCCCGTTAAGAAACGAACAATGCCAGTAACGGTCAATAGTTCATAAGTGAGATTCCCTAAAGATTCCGGGTACCGGGAAAAGAGTAAAATTTTGATGAGATTCCCATTGGTTTACGACTTTACGTGTTCAAATTTTCTTTGTGCGAGCATGGACACCATAAAGTGCTTTATGTCTGCGATTCCTAAATGATTGTAACATTCAGTCATCTGTCCAGCCAAGATTTTCTGTGATGTTTTAACCAATCTTTACTCAAGAAAAGGATAAGGTAAGAATTCTTGTTGATTTTTGTTTCAAATCTGTATATAAAACATATATCGACTGCTTTAATATTTGAGGCCTGGCTGTTGGCTCTCGGGGACGTGCACATCCCCTTGAGCCTAGAAAAAGCTAGGTCGCTCAAAGCAGTTGATAATATTGATATCTCACCTAACTCCTTGTGTAGGGTGATATTCACCACCAGAAACATCAGTTGCATCAGCCAGAAAGTTGGAGATCACAGTTTTCCCAGACTAGGCAAGAAAATAAAGCAAAAAGACATGCCTCCGTCTTAATTCAGTTAAGATCATGGCTGGAATTATTCTTGAAAAATGAAATAAAAAAAGCCTATAATTACATGTCAAATGTTTTATACGATCTTTGACCTTTAACCTGACAATCTCAAAAATCTGATCATGCACTTGTCTCCCTAGAGATGGTGATGCATACTAGTTAAAAGTTTCAGGTTCACACATAAAAAAAGCTTAAAATAGCAGTTGATGTGTTGTTAACAAGGTTTAACAAGGGAAACACTCTTGGCGGTCTTGCCTGCATTATGCAGTTCGATATGATGACAAATTGAGGGTGGCAAATTATTTATAGGCAGGGTGGCCCATTAGCAGGCCCCCCAAAATGAAATCCTTTGAATGTTATCAGCAGTTTGAAGAGAATGTTGACTAAGAATCATCAGAAGAATTATTTACTATTTTGTACCAAGATTGGTAGTTTTCATGAAATACAAACAAATAGCAAAAAATGATTGATAAATTATCACAATAAGTTGTGAAAACATAATCCAAGTCTCCAGCAAAGCATAGTAATGCTAATGTGTATTGACCTCTAGCGTTATACATGTATGTGTGAATCAAACAATCCATTTAAAAAACTTGTATACCAGTAAAATACCCGTAAAATATATCAATATAGATCTAGATCTAGATCTATGTCTGGAATCCCTTGCCCCCTTTGGCTTTGGCGATAAATTTTCTAGTTGAAGTTGAGCTGATCTGAGTCTGTACTAGGTTAGACAGAAATAACTGTCTGATTTGGTCATTTCTTTTATAAAACTGACATTTGTTGACATTCCCAAATACAGACGTCAACCCAGGGATCTCGTATTTTCTGATTTCTAAATCAGATGTAAATTAGGTCGGTATATATATACCTCCTAATTACAATTTTCAAAATTTGCTAACCTATTATAGAATGTGAAATTTACGGACTTACTTATTATGAGTTATCCAATTTTATCTCAGAACCGCGAAGCAGTGCGTTCATGCATTCAAACTATTACCCGGCACCCGATATATTTCCGGTTCAACCTACCAAAACATAGCCAATGGCCAATCAGAGCACTCGTTTCGTGGGAGTTCGTTGGTCAAGCCGGGCTGACTCGTACGTAGCTACGGTAGCTATTGGACGTTCGAAAAGAAAAAATGAATATTCAACAACTAAAACCAAGACGGATAATGTTGACGACGAGACTTTCTGGGATTAATCATTAATTTAGGATCTAAATGAGCAAGCTATCGTAAGTCAAATAAGCTATATATATATATGTTATTTTTAATTTTTATTATAATTGCAGCAGTTATGAGGATGTAAAGAGTGAAAATCTCGTTGCATATCTCATTCATCTCGGTCCGGTCGAACCGAACCATTTGTTCCGTACAGTCCCGTACAGTCCCGATAGGCCATACTTCAGTCTCTCTAATCGGAGGTCTAGTATAGTCTCAGTGGAACAACCGACGATTAGAGAGACTGAAGTTTTCGGTCTAGTACTAGGTTAGACCGAAAGCTTCAGTCCCTATATCGTCGGTTGTTCCACTGAGACTACGTCTGGCTCCACTAGACCTCCGGATATAGAGACTGAACGATCGCCTTCCGAAAGATACTCTTCCTTCCAACCTCCACTTTCTCGCCTTTCTATTTCACCTCTATTTTCTATCCACTTTCCTTAGTCCTTCTAGGACTTTACACATGGTGTACCGTAAACCTCTACCGCGATTAACTAATATAGATCTAGAATAGGCCCCTAGGGTCTAAATAGATTTGTGTAGAATATGAGACATCATTGATTGAATATCACATTTTATAAAAAATTAAAATCTCTGCGAACTCACACACATGTATGGTGGTGTGACCAAATTTCGCGCGTGACCTAAGTTCGCTATCTCAAAAAATCAGTAAGATTACGAAAATCTGATATCCCCAGTGGAAAGAGGAACATAAAATTACCCAGACATGAAATTTTCTTTGGAGTTGGGTACGAAATTGTGAAAATATCGACAAAAGTTCGGCAAATTTTGCAATATTTTGCGTCCGTTCCGAAAAATGATCAACTTACCGATAAGGATCTGAAAATCTTCAATTTGAGAACAGATTTCCTCAAAATTGTAAGTAGACTAGGCCTAGATCTAAACAGTGTTTTATAACTGATTGTATGATATCTTGCCTTGCAAATTATGATATTACCTCATTTTTGATGGATCGTTGTTTTTATGACTTTTTTAGATGCAGCGCGCAAGAACGATCGGACATCGAATTTTTAATTTTAGATCGCGATATCTCCGAAATCCTTCGACGTTAAAATTTTCTAGTTGAACTAATCTGTAGTTAAAAACTTCGTTATAATTGAAATCAATAAATTTGTGTAGTATATGGGAAATCGTAGTTCGAATATCACATTTTGTAATATGTTCTAAAATGTCCGCGAACTTTGGTCACCCCTTCATACACATATTAGCCTAATACACAAATCACAATGCACAAAAATATTAATATGGGACTGAGCTGAGAGTGAGACCCGAGTCTAACTAAGTTAAACTCGTTCTCATCATGATATGCCTGGCCTGTTCAATATACATGCATTCATACCTCTGTTGGCCCAATCATCACTATTTTAGCCTTCATTTTGACATCAGGTGCTTGAATTTAAAATCTACTCCGGCAGCCCGGCTCCAACTTCCAAATTAATCCTCCTCTGTAGATCTAGTCTAGACCCTATTTATAATTTAGCTAACTAGCGATCATATCCTCGGAATGTGTGAGGTCAAAGGTCGTAACATAGGACGCGTACGTGCTATTTTGATGTGAAATGTTGTGTTGTGTGTTGTGTTTTGAGTTATTGGCGATTAGTCAGTGATTTGACTATTGTCGCCAAAATACTTTACGGCACGTGTTATATCTCTCAATTTTGGATTTAAAAAAAAATATATTTATTTCGTTTTATATTTATCTATCTTTTAAGATAGTATCGTAAAATAATATCGTAAGCAAAACATTCATGGGCTTTGTTAGTGTTTCTTAACAGTACGTGCAGATTATTTGTTATATCACATACACACCATACATAAATATGTATATAAGATAGCACCTACACAAGCTATATTCAGTAATCTTATCATACCTTTTATCATTGTTGTTACTTTTTCTTATTTTATTTTCTTAATACATTATGTTATTATATTTTTAATGTACTGAGTGTAATTTAACATATTTATAATATTGTATTATGTTTTACTGTTCTTATTTTCTTTTCTTATTACATTATGTTATTATATTTTTAATGTACTGAGTGTAATTTAGCATATTATAATATTGTATAATGTTTTACTATTCTTATTTTATTTTCTTATTACATTATGTTATTATATTTTTAATGTACTGAGTGTAATGGCGGTGATGATGGTAGTGGTGATGATAAAGATGGTGATGGTGGTGACAGGTGATGGTGGTGGTGCATGGTGGTAGTGGTGATGGCGATTGTGATGGTGGTAATGGTTTGTAGGAGGGGGGGGGGGGCGTAACATTTACAGTAACATTATTGGCCATTCAAATATTACTATCACTGTGATCTTATTGGTAGCATAGACATTGATATAGTTACGGCCGGTAAACCAACCCGATATCAAAATCATAGTAAAATGTTTCTCTTCGATGCAGAGCAGCTTTGCCTTTACTAGAAAAATAAAGATACCATTTGAAGCTCTACGAAAACTATACACACTAACCAGGGCCCGGGGAACGACGGGGCTCAGGCCGGGGTAATTGCGGGGGTAATTGAGCCCTCCACTTTTTTGAAAATAGAAATAGAAAGAATGAAACAAAGTCCGGCTTTTAACACACACAAAATCGGTCCGTATTGACTTTACACCCCGCCCCCCCCCCCCCACTCGATCAATGTTATTTTGAAAGCACCCCCTATCTGAGGACTGCCAACATTTCCGAACCCCCCCCCCCTTTCGCGGGCTTTTCGCAGGCTTTTCCTGCCTTGGAGACCCCCCTAAAAAAAACAAAAAAATGCTCAATGTACCCCCTAAATCCATAATAATTTCTAAGGAGTCCAAAGAGATTAGAGAAAAAAGAAAAAACACCCCTTTTTAAAGAAATCTCCTGGTGAAAACTCAAATACACCCCCTTTTTTTTTACAATTCTCGGGCCGGACTTTGTCGCACGAAAAGTACCCCTTTACCGGACATTTTGGTAACACGCATGCGGTCCCTCCGTTCTCGGAGTGGGGGGGGGGGGGGCGGGCTTTACACACCGGACTTAAGGGGGGGGGGGTTTCAAAAGGGGAAACATGCATACGCGTAGCCTAAATAACACTGAGTGGGGGGGGGGGGGCGGGGCGATTCGTTTAGTAGTGTCACAGAATGATGTGTCGTTACTGTTACATGATAATCCATTTTTATATAACGCATAACGCATTCCTTTGCGCGTATAGAAAGAAAACCAAAGAGAAAAATAGGGTACTGAGTTCCTTTTACTTGTTTACAACAATTGAAATAAATATTTTTTCAGGTAATATCTATAGTGTCAATATTTTTAAGTGAGGCTTGGAGGTCGTTCCATAAAATTGGGGCAGCATGGGCAAATGAACGTTCACCATAATGTGTTTATCAAAATAGGAGAAAAATAGATTCTTTTTATATGAATGGAAGATTTCTTAGTGGTTTACATACAGTGAGTAATTCATTTAAATAAGAGGGTGCTGATTCATGAAAACATTCATAACAATAACAATATTTTAAATTGGATGCAAGAATTGACTGGTGACCAATGTAAATTTCGTAAGACAGATGTACAGATTATGCTGCATTATTGTAGAGCGCTTAGAGACTTCTGACAAAGTAAGTGTTAGGCGCTATATAAGCACTGTAATTATTATTGGATAGATGTGTAAATCATTGAAATAATAATCAGTATACGATGAGAAAATGATTCTTCTCCAGCTTCCAGAAACCAACCTATTCGAATTTATTGCGTCCTGCGGGATGCAATTACTCACTGCTTTTGCAAGATTTGTATGTGAGATTTGGTTTTTGGTGAGTCCGGGACGCAAAAACGCAACTTAGCACGGCCCTTGCCAAAATAATTATATTGCTCTACAAAACAAATCTAAACTAGAGGACAAAAGCACTGGATCTGCTTTCTATATTCCAGAATTGGGCATAACAAAGTGTTACAGGTTATCATCAATAAACATAATGAGGGCAGAATATTAGCAGCTAAAGTGATGGCTTTGGGGTGGCTAGAAGATTGTAGAGGAATGTTAGTTGTTTTCTTAACACATTCATTGTCAGCAATTCAGACTCAAGAAAACAGCAACAATTTCAAAATAATTGTTGCTGATATTTTGTACAAAATGTAATAACAAAATAATGTCAGATATACATATAGATAAACTTTGAATGAATATCTTTCCATTGCAGTGTTCGACGTAAAGAAATTGCAGACAATCTCCTGTAGGCAGGAATAAACGGCCCAGATAGCCAGCTTGGCCCAGATGGCCTGATCGGCATGATCAGTTTGATTGGAAGCCTGTATACGAAAGCCGGCTCTAAATCGATTGACTCCTGTAAAGTGGAGCGATTGAAATGCTTGAATATCATCTTGTACTAAAATCATAGAGATGACATCCCGAATCCGAATGCACTACTAATGGTGAGGGGGGAATTAAATATACTAAATCTTGCACAGTAGCACTTCGCTGAGACAAGTAAGCCAACTCTGAACTCGAAAACAGGAGTCTGGAAAGACAGAGCCCCAAAACATGAGTAAAAGATCACAGATTAACAAGATTGAAGAGCGCCATCTAAACACAAACAACAACAACAACAATCTGCCATGCACAAACTTTTGAAACATGTGAGAGGGAGGGAAATATGATTCGGTACTCCCTTAATTATATTTTAACAGAAATTTATTTTTCCATCTATGAAAAAAATCATTGTACTAATAAAAATAAAGGGTCGATGTTAACTTTTCTAATCTTTAGCAAGTGTCTCATTTGAATTGAATAATTATTCAGACCATGATTTACATCATTAAATATAGTGACCTGCCAGTGTCACAAATAAGGTATAAAAATATGCTCATCTGACCGTAATTAAATGCCTAAAACCCCTGAGCTTCTGGGGGCTCCGCACCCTGGACCCCACGCCAATTTACGCTCCGCTAGCTTGGTTCGCTACGTTCTACCTGATCGTAACCCCCCCCCCCCCCCCCACTTTGCAATACACCCGTACGTTCCGCGGGGCCTGTTTACGTCATGTCAAGCTTTACCATCAAGTTGAGACGCAATATGGCTCATCGTCGAATTATATGAACATGATAAGGAGACATTTGTTTAAAGTGTACGTCTCTGGGTAATACAGCCTAATAGCAGGTTTAATTTTTTTTTTTTTTTTTTTTTTTTTTAGTTCAAATTCAATTTTATTTATTTACTATTTTAAGATAAAAGTGCACAACATAAAGAACATAACATAACAAAAATACATTTCGGGTTATGTTTTGTGCAGATCTCATTAAAGAATAATTTACATGTGATGACTTTAATATTTTTTCTTCTTCTTAATTTGGAAAATAGTATGGCATTTTAAAAAGCTATGCTTTTATATTACTTGCCCCAAAAATGAGTTTAACTGGTAGTCAATGATTGGTCAAAAGATCAAAATCAAAATCAAAGATCAAAAGAACAAACTAGCTGTTGACACGAAGAAAAAAAAGTGGGATTGGTTGATGGACAGTTAAAGTAAATAAAGAGAAAAGTAAAATCAACAAAATGAACACACAATTGGGTTTACAGGAAAAATCCAATTATTTTCGCACAAGTTCCGTGTACCCTATAGTCACCATGCTCTAGTTTGTACATAACAAACCGTAGGGTAGTATTCTGAAAATCCCTCTTAGTTTCCGTCTCAGTGAACCCCTCCATTTCTACAGCTTTAAAAAAAATATACAGCTAATATATATTCGCTTATTCTTTCGCTTATGTAATACAATTGATTATTTATAAAACTCAATATATTTTAATTGATTTCTGTGATCGATTTCTTGTCAAAATTGTTCATAATGAGTATTGTTCTGTTGAAAATGAAGATAAAACTGAAACCGGAACGTACTGTGGAGTCTGGTGCTGGGGTACACTTTTTCTCAAGCAAAATGTCAAGAGGACACTTTTTTTTTTTTTTTTTTTTGGTCTCGAAATTTGGAAATTTGACATTTTGCTCAGTTGGGGGGGGGGGGGGTAAGGTCACCTTTTTTAGGTCGGCCGTGGGCATAATTTTTTTTTTTTTAATACCAAAAAAAAAAAATCAAAAGGGGGGGGGGGGGTTAGGTTTTTTTTTTAGGGGGGTTTACATACATACAATTACCAAAGGGGGGGGGGGTAACCCCCCCCCCCCCCCCCCCCCCCTGCGCGTACGCGCCTGCGATCAAATAGCTCAACTACAATACATTGGTCTGTATTTAACTGGAAGCTCCATCCTGCTTGCCGCCCACTATCGAGCGTAAGGTGCGCTATGATAAATCTATTGTTTCTGGGGAGTTGAGGGGTGATAACAACATCTTGTCATACGACATAATGGTTATCATGTCTCAGTCTTATTGCATTTTGCTTGCTTGCTAGATGCCTTGTCTGTTCCAGAAATTGGCGATCAAGCTTTCCATCTACTTTTATCTCTGGTTCTTAATGTGATGTTGATTATGTTGCCAGTCAGCCCAATGAACTTGTCCATGTATTAATAATTGTATTTGATGCGCTGTCTTCCTTTGCTTCTCTTTCCCTCAAATTTTCCAAGAAAGAGAGAGAGAGAGAGAGAGAGAGGGGGGGGGGGTTGAAGTTGAAGTCTGGGACAAAGTGACGGAAGTCTTGGACGGACTTGTGGTCCCAATTCGGAAAGTATGGGACCGTCTCCATTAATTTTGTTTTTACACGGGCCTATACTTCCTCTCAAGCATACTGTATGTCGTATAACTGCACACATATAGCTTTCGGTCCCGTAACCTAATATTTGGTATATAAATTATTTAGAACAAGAAATAGATCACGTTGTTCGCTTTCAATATTGGTTTTATGCATTTCACTTCCTAAATGATACAAGTGTTGTCTGCTAGAATGTGTCTGTTGTATTGGTAGAGAATTATTCAGCATACAATTCAACTATAATTGCTGAAAGTCGAGCCACCCGCAGTGCAAACTCTTTACTTCTGGAAAACACACACAGGGAAACCAAACGCATTAAAGAGCTTTTCAGGTGAAAGGTCTTTCACTGAAACCGTGCAGACATGCGAATAGCGGTGTTCACATTCTTACGAGATTCGTGAACTTATTATAAAATTATAAATGGTCATGAATGTTTTATGTCAAGAATAAAAAATGAAGATTATTAAGACTACACAGGAATGGTTGAGAAGCACACAAAGAAAGAACTACACTGTACTTCTGCTTCGTCTAAAAATATTAACTTCAAAATTATCTAAAGAATAATCTTACATTGTGCAAATATCACATATTAATAGAATAATGCAGTGATATAACTGCGTAGCAATAATATTGTAGTATACAGTGAGCTCATTTATCATGACTTTATGTCCAAAATGTTGACATGTCATATTTTAATTTATTTTGTTTGTTTGAATAATGATTGAGTATTTTGTTGTAATTTATTGTCAGAGATTGTCAAAATGATTACAAAATGGTTAAAATTAAGTAAAATAGTCTTATTATTTATGTGTGTGATCCCTGTCGTTGTTTTACTATCCACGAATTCGTCCAGGAACTGATGTTATTTCACCGATGGCTGAACTTGGAGTCGGAAAAATCAGTGGGTGTTCCATAAATTAACCTTACGAACTTCACATACAAGGAGGATACTAGCCACTGAGTTCATGTCAACTCTTATTTTCCTTATCTCATCGACAATTTCGTAATTTGTCACGCTGAAGTTTCTTTCTCTTGATTTACTCGAAATCGCCACAAAATCAAAAGAACGACTCGCAGGAACGATTTATGAATAAGATTATTGAAGAAAAAAAAATTGAAGGAAAATAGAAAAGATCCTTTTTACAGTATGACTAACGATATTTGTTTAAGAGACAAAATATCATTTTGTTTAGTAATCAATCATGAAGAGAGAGAGAGAGAGAGAGAGAGAGAGAGAGAGAGAGAGAGAGAGTGAGGGGGAGGGAGACAGTGAGAGAAAAATGGCAAAGACAATAATGTAGATTATGATAAAATTGTAGTCTTAAAGAGATGTTAGACAAGAAAACGGCAAAAGCTGCTTATAAATTGTCTAATAATTATTGTTTAGACATAACAATAACTTGAAGGCTTGTTAATTAAAAACAATAACATGCAGCTCATCAGGAACAACAGCAGGAGTTGATGATCGCCCCCCCCCCATGACAAATCGACGAACATTTGCCATATATTTTCCATTTATAAAAAGTAATCATACATTACCGTTTTTATCATGATTCCCCTCCCCCCCCCCCCCCCACACTCAGTGTTATTTAGGGTACGCGTATGCTCGTTCCCTCTTTTTGAAAGCACCCCCTATCTGAGGATGCTAAATTTTCCGAACCCTCCTTTCGCGGGCTTTTCGCGGGCTTTTCCTGCCTTGGAGACCCCCCTAAATACGGAAAAATGCTCAATGTACCCCCTAAATTCTGAATAATTTCTCAGGAGGCCATGAGAGAAAAATAGAAAAACACCCCCTTTTTAAAGAAATCTCCGGGTGAAAAGTCAAATACACCCGTTTTTTACAATTCTCGGGCCGGACTTTGTCGCACGAAAGTACCCCTTTACCGGGCATTTTGGTAACACGCATGCGGTCATTCCGACCCCGGAGTGGGGGGGGGGGGGGCATAATTCGTGAATACTTCTGTAAAAATGTATCTTGTCTTTGGATGAAACTCCTGCTGTGCTATTTACACCAATAAACATCTCAACATTATACTCTATTCGGTTCAGAATCCAGAAGCAGGTGATATAGTATGATTATAATGTATAGAGCTAAAGAAAACGAACAGGTCATTTCTGCCAAAAACTTTGAAATCTATATTAGGCGAAGTCTATCCCTCAACTCATTGATACGTCTGATATTTTAATGATAATGCTCGATATAAATGTCTGACTGTTTAAAAATAAAGATTTCTGGTCGTGCGATTGCAATATGAAAGAAACTATGTGGATTGGAAAGGTTGAAAAATAATGTAGCACAGAAGTATTGTGAAAACTGTGAGGTTTTGGAAATTGGAAGCGCCACATACACTGAACATAGAATTGTGTATGGGCCTACACAAACATGTGGCATGAAAGATGTGGACCACAACTTTTAGCTGTTATAGATGTAATATTTCGAATATGAGGGCAATGGAAGAGCAATCGTTTATAGTGGATTTTTTTTTCTTCTATGATGCTCTTATACACACTCACACAAAAATAAAGAAAAAGCTTACAAATATTTGTTCACCTCTCTCAGAGTCGTAGAACTCAACCTTCTTATTTAGTACATAATATACGAAAATCAATGACTATACCTTTAAAGTTGCCCTGCGCGCGGAAGATTTATTTTCTTGTGTATGATCGGGGTCAAAATGTTGACATTTCGGATGAAAACGACTTGTCTGAATCTAAACACACTGATGAAAGTACTAACTAGTATGCCGAATGCCGAAGGTTTTCAATTCGTGCTAAAAGCGGAGTAAGGACGTGTGTTTCGTTGTCATGCACAGAATAGATCAGAGTAGCTCCCTTTGTATGACTTTGTAAAATAATGCAGTATATCGTTCAAATAATACGGGAAATATAACACGCAACTGCAACTCCATTCATAATTGTATTGAAATATTAAACTATTTTCAGTTTATCCATTTTTGGACAACAATCACACATTTTCACTTCATTTTTATGATTTATGCACACTAATGTAACGAACTTCATACTATGAACTCCCGTGAACTAGTCGATGAAAGCGCCATCTTCTTATTTCGTTATTTGCTTGTTCAAAACATTAATGTCATACTGATTAGAATTACATTGTGAGTAAAAAAAAAAATACTAGAGAGAGAGAGAGAGAAAGAGAGAGAGAGAGAGAGAGAGAGAGAGAGAGGGGGGGGGGGGAGGGAGACCATTTCGGTGTAATTGAAAACATCGAAGATTTTTGTTTTGTTACAAGGAATACGTAACGTCCGGGAACAATAATACACGAGATATGGGAAATGGAATGATCGATCGGTTGGTTAATGAAATGATGTTCACATAATCACATTCAAATCACATTCAAAGAAGTTCTCACAAGATATCATTAGACAGATCGTTCTCGATTCTATCTATATTATTAGACTTTACTCGAGCTATTGTTTTAAGAACTTATTAATAGCATGTTGAACTGCATAATTAGCTATTACTATAGATTGTTCATTGAGCCGTCGAAAATAGGGACTTTTAGATTTGCGTGGACTGCTACGTGTGACGCCCACGTTGTCGCGGTGCAAATCTAAAAGTACCTATAATTAATCATACCGTGCATTACCTGTGGCAAGAGCACCACTGGCACTAAATACTACCGTGCGGAAGAGAAACTTTCATCGAATACGAGAGCTCAAACTCAACAGGCGCACGAGAATGGCAGTGCCAATCAGCATTCTTTTACGGAGGCTAAACGATGACACATCTACACTCGATTTCACGAGACTCCAGGATTTATAAATACATGTACAAAAAACTTGCAAGCCTTCCTTATAGTAAGTTACTAGAGGCGGACGTCGTTCCCCTAGCTCCAAATCTCTGAGAACGTTTTGGGTGTGATGTTAACAAAATCCGGCGGGAAAGCGGTGGCCGTATCTTGTCGTCTGCGGCGTTGACTTATCGGTTCTGATATTTCAAACGAAAACTCCTCTTCCACAAATCAGCGAATATTACCCTCGCTTGCGGAATACCGTCCTGTACTTCATTAGGCTTTGTCGAGTGTGTGTGTGTATTGAGGAGAGTAGTCATGGCTTGTGGACTGGATCAAAGTTGGGGAGTTATGAGCTGTTTTGGGTCACTGCTCACCGTGATTTTGTTGGAGGTTTCATTGTTTACCACAGGGGTTACTTCTGTTTCCATGTTCCCCATAGATCCCTCCATCTCAGAGAGCCCTCGAGCAGCGTTCATAGAAACGATGGTAAGATTGTTATTACCTGCTTAAAACCTCCATCCTTCTAAAAGGATTTTATTTGTGATAACTATATTCATCAGATGAGAAGATGACTTTCACTTGGTAGTAATCTAGGACTTCATCTGTATATTACATGTATGTTTTATTTTCCACTGTCATGCAGTTTTCTTACGTAGACTTTACATCATGAACAGTGTTCGGCATGCATGTCCCTGCTCGGTATATATGTATTGGATATGCATCAATTCAGAAAATACGACCAATTTTTTTAGGATGTATAATCGGATATTGAAATTGAGTCGATTCGAGTTGATTTTTCGAAATTAATTGCGACCGTGTTAGAATTCTATTGTGATCATATTGATAATTACGATATTGCTTTTTATTTTCGTGTATACTTTCTCTTTACAGCGTGTATGTGTATATGCTCCTTATCATGTTTATCAATATCAGTGGCAGAAAAGAGTAGGACATGTTTATACAAAACGTGAAATAGATCTCTCTTGCCGAAGTTTGTTCTGATATGTTTTGTCACAGTGACAGTTATCTCAGATTTGATTCATTTTTGGAAAGGGAAATATTGACATATATGGATGCGATCAGGACTAATGTGAAGATATACATTACGAGTGATGATATTTTAGTATTAACTTTTTCATTGTTATTATCCACTGAGGGTTGAGTGTGCCTGTGCAGTCTTTCTGGGTGTTTCTGAAAATGTATGAACATATATAATTTGCGCAAACGGAAGTTTACGATTCGACGAAGTGGTGAAATGTGATTATTTGAATGTCCTATTTTGTCAGTTGGTAAATTGCTCTGACCTAGATATTTATCTAAACATTGCTGAAGAAGGTGATTATGAACTAACTCAGGACCCTTTACTGTATAAACTCCAGAAACTAAAAAAAATCAATAATGACAATGCTTGTTCTCGAGTTGTCCGAAATCACAGGCTGAATCCTGTCAAATTCACTTTCAAGCAAAGTTCCGCTTTTGTCATATTCAATAGAAAAACCACAAGATGAGCAAGAAGATAAGATGCAGTGAATGAGTGTGTATCGGACCATGCATCAGCAACCATGCATGCACAGATCAGAGAAGATCCTCTCAGTCTCACGCTGAGGGTCAATACTAATGGCTTGTTTTGACTGTTAAAACGAAATTTCATTACAATTAAAACTGTTTCATTAACCTCCATCGGCCTTATCTGATAGCTATGAGAAATGGAAGCTAAGACGAATTTATTTTCAATCTTGAATACCATGAACACATAGGGAGAGGCTAATCGAGCGCTAATGCGGAGGAGCCGGGTAGAGATAATGCAAAAAAGAAATTAACATAGGTTTACACACTGACATCAGCAATTATTCAAAAATGGAAGAGACCCCAATGTGGCCTAATTATACTTTCCTGGAGCCTTTCTAGTATTTATACCAGACCTATACATGTATAATATGTACAGAGGCGGCGCTCCCGGGAGGGGCAGGGGGCAATAAGTGTCCATATTCCTTTCTAATAATTGCCTTTTTTAGGAACGAGAAGTGCCCCTTTTCACTTTTGTTATGTTCTCCCTTCACTTCTGATAATTGCCCTATTCAAATCTGAGAGGTGACCCTTTTACTTCGTTAGAAGTGACCCTTTCCCTTTTAATAACTACCCATGCTTAACTCAGATAAGCGCACCTATTATTTTCATAATGTGCCCCTTTTCCTTTCTAATAAGTGCCCCTTTTCCTTATGATAAGTGCCCCCATTAAAAAAAAGCTTCTTCCACTTCTCATAGAGGCCCCTTTTCACCTAAGTGTCCCTTTCCATTCTCATAAGTGCCCCTTTTCATATCTGGTAAATGACACTTTTCAGGTACGAGAAGTTACTCCTTTTCACTTCAGATAAGTGCCCCAACATTTTGATGGGTGCCCTTTTTCCGTCGACAAATGGCCATTTCCTATTCTCATTTTAAGTGCCTTTTTTCATCCCTGCTGAGTGCCTCATTTTTGGTGTAAGAACTAAGAAGTGTCCCATTTTCACCTCTGATCAATACCCTTTGTACTTTGACATGTGATCCTTTTCTTTTCTAATAAGTGTACTATCTTTTTCGATTTGTGATAGTAATTGCCTATGCCCTCACGTTGACCATATGGTAGAAATACTCCTCAGGGAGTGGAGATGATGCACATTGTGAGTGAATGAATCCGATGACCAGGGTAATAATATTTGTAAGGCGCTTAGAGGCGATATATCGTGGTAAGCGCTATATAAATCCAAATTATTATTATTACAATTTAATTACATTTTAGGTGAATGTTAATGGTCACAAAGTAATGTAACTATACCGTATACCATTTCAGAGACATTTAAGTGTTGAAAGATTTTGTTTAAAATCTGTCTTATGTGTTATTTTCATGGAAAAACGGTTGGGAAAGTTCAAAAATGGTTGGGAGAATTTACTGTTAGACCATGTTTACCGAGTCACTTTAAAGCGACTAAGAGCAATTTCCCCTTTATAGATTATTATGTAACTTATCATAGGTCTTTTCAGTCTTCCGTTATGAGAATGTGTTTATAACCCCATCAGGATTGGGTTTTTTCCTCATTATAAGATGAAATTTTTGGCACACCGACCTCACAAATCTTACAATTTTTCATCGCTCGCTCGCCAATGAATATTTAAGCAATATCTTGTATGATGTATGAAAGGAAACAAATATTGAAATCATTCCTGATAATGTAATTACAATGAAGGGGTATATTATACCAATATCTTAAAAATTGTATATTTTAGCTTTCCGATTTTCCTTTTTAGGTGCCTTTTTTCCCTCCAGAAAGTGCCCTTTTTTGTTGGTGCCCCCCCCCCCACCCTTGGAAGTCACTCCGTCGCCCCTGAATATATATATACATTTATCAGTGATGAAATTCATTTTAAAGCGGAATGAGGAAAGTGGCACTTTAGAAACAGTTGGTTGATCAAAATGGAGACAGGTGCGATTATATAGGCCTGTTAAATATTAGACAGGCTTGATTGCTGAAGTGAAACGCGTACTAGTAGTGTTTGTACACTGATTGTTTAATTAAGCAGGTTATTCCTATGGTAGATGTGAACTAAAATGACATATCTCCATTTAAAAGGGCTGAGGAGAGACCTTCTATTTCCTCAAAATTGTACATCAACACTTTGAACATGTTATGTCCATCACTATAAAGGTGGAATCTAGCGTGTTAAAAGCGTTGGTCTGATAATCATGAATAGTGGTCAAACCTCGGCCCTTTTAATTTCACTTTTGTTTAGCTACGCCACTTAGATGTGCTAAATCGGCTATTCATTATTATTACATTACTGCTTCAAGTTTAGTTCCTGGATTAAATTAATTAATGCCGCCTACAAAAACTGTCAAACTGTTAACCTATTCAAAACTAGTCTTAAGACACATTGCCTACGCTGATTAATTAACTCTGTTCACTTTGATGTACATGTATTGTAATTTGTAGGTTTATTTGCACTTTTTTGTTTTGTTTAATGTGTAATTGTTTATCAGTCTATTTTTGTTTGTTATAGCGCTTAGAGACTTCGGTGGTAAGCGCTTTATAAGTAACGTTTTTATTAATATTGTTATTATTACAGACACGAGAAAAAATTTAATCAAATTTTCATTAATATCTCTGTAAAACGCCCCCCCCCCCCACCCACCGAATGACAGCAAATGACCTGCAAATGTGCAAAATTAATAACTGTATTGCACTGATCAGATCGGTCTCCATGTAAACGTGGATGCGTTGAATGGCAATATACAACTGTTAGTGTTAGCTGCTATGAAAAACAATTATGTTAAACGCAATGCAACATCGTTCTGAAGCCGGAATTCTACTTACCTTCTTAGATACTCGTATGCTTTCTTCCTTGTATGCATTATTATTTTTTTTGTTGGTAGTATTCTTTATTGTATTCATTCAATACATGTATCATACGACTTATTTCAAATAACGATAAAATAATTGAGTTGTGTATATTGTGTACTCTATATGCTATGTATCGTTATTTGAAATAAGTCTTATGGTATTGAATGAATACAATAAAGAATACTACAAAACAAAAACAAAATAATGCGTACAAGGAACATAGCATATAGAGTACACAATATACACAACTCAATTATTTTGAATGAATAAATCTTATCGTAATAATCCCCCTCCCAAAGTTAAAACAAAATGATGATTAATGATGATAATGGTTTCGATTGATCGTAAAATCAGGATCATTCGGCTGGAAATTACTAATGATTATTTACTATTATGCTAAGACAGAAATGCCAATATCAAAGAAGAAATAATTGTGAAAATACTGAACGAGGGATTGGGGGGGGGGGGGCGGCTACTGTGTGATGTATTAAAGTACATTGCATGTTAATGCATGTGTAAAATATACAGTACTTATTTAACCTATGTACATGGAGATGATCACATCTTGCCTTTGAAACTAATGTTACTACACTTGTGTTCATACACGCCGTGGTAGAAAGTGTCAGTAACAGCATCAGTATAATAATACAAATAATATGTCTAATTACCCAGGGTAGCCTCATCAGTATTTATACTGTTCTCCTATTAACCGTGGTTGAAATATAGAAATAGTTTGGATGTGGGAGACTGCGAGTTCATAATTATGGTAGATACCTGATTTACTACTTGGAAATATCAGTTATATAGGAGCCCTTGGTAGAAGTAAATATTTGGTTTACTACTTGGAAAATACCGGGAAAATAGGTATAATAATTATAGTTATATAGGAGCCACTTGGTACAAGTACATTTGGCATCAGACCACGCGAACAAGAGAGAGAGAGAGAGAGAGAGAGAGAGAGAGAGAGAGAGAGAGAAGGGAGAGAAGGGAGGGGTATACGATAGCAATTACGCCTTGTATTTCTCTAGGATATGGTATACTGTCACAGTATACTTTCGTAATACATGTAATTGATCCCCAAACAGGCGTTGTCAACACATTCACCTGGAG